TGTGAAGTTCAATGGGACTTTGAGTACTGCCAACTCAGTGTTCTTGATTTGTTTCCTGCACTTCTGTAACTCAAGTTACAGGCTTTTTATTTTCTTTCATTCCTTCACTCTTTCTTTTTTTTTTTTTTAACCCTTTTGTTTTTCTGGTTCCAGAAACACTAACAATGAAAAGGTAGGGAGAGTGATTTTAGCGTTAGCTTGTTAATGCACTACTGCTGGGCCTCTCTAAAGGTGAGAGAAGTTCTAGGAGATATTTCATTCTTAAACGTCTAAAAACAGCAAGTTTTGCCCTTCCCTGTGCCTTTGGAAGTTACATGCTCACTGTTTGAATTGGGTATATCATTTCTTTTGCTCAGCAGAACTCCCCCGATTTTGGGATCATTTCCATGAGTTGCACATAGTAAATATTTTCAAGAACACGTGCTCAAATGAATTTAATTTTATATGATGATGAACAGCAGTTCTGATGTTATGATAGTCATGTGTTTCCCCCTCGCTATTCACATTAGATATATAGGAATGAGTTCTGAAAGACCCTGTTAGATATGTCAGATCTGGGGGGAAATCATTTAATTATTTGTTAAGCCCTTCCTATGTCCTACACATCCTCCTTTCTCAAGCAGTTCACATCCAACAGAATAGAGAAACTTAAACCCCAATTGTAATTCTGTGAGATGAGTACTATGCTATTGCTAAGTACAGTAAATTGTGGGGGCTAACAGAATAGACACAGCTTTTCAAGTACTTTAGTAGGCTTCGAAAATAAGAGATCTCAAATTCATCTTGCCCATTTCAGTTTTACTTATGTTTCGAGGTTACAAGTTATTCTGGCTAATTAAGAAATGGGGAGAAAAGGTTTTGTACATCTTAATTTTTTAAATGTGAAGCACAAGCACACATTATTTTCCAAATACTTTCAAGGGCATTTTTCTAGAATCAGGTAAATGAGAGCAAGCAAGTGACCTACTTACAACAAAAATGCTGCAGGTTATAAGGATGGGAAGCCAAGTGCATCCTGGAAACCATAGCATCTGGTCTTGTTTTATGCTTCATCTATCAATCTGCTGTTACAGGAATTCAGAATTAATGTTTCAACTACAGTAGTGTTTCTTGTATTTTGGCTGATGAATTTTTATCTTTGTTATTCTTATCCACTCCCTCCCATCTCCTTTCCTATTAAAAATTATTTTTGAAGCAATTATTCTTTCATCTACTCCTTAAAACTTTTGCTAATAAGGCTATACTATAATAAGGTTAGATGGCTTCCCAAGCAATTCCCTGTTGTGATCAGTCCTGACTTTCCACAGATGGTATCATTTGAAAAGTATATTTTCAGTACTGTATTTAAGCAAAACAAACTAAATATTGTGGACTTAAAATAAATATCTAAGTTCTAGAAAATGTTTATTGATAGCATATACTGTAAAAAACATACAGTTGGCAGTAGGGCTTGAAAAAATTATGCAGCAATGTAAGATTTGAATTAGCACTATGCTGATAACACAAGAAAGTTACATATATGTTCATTTTTACATGCACTCACTTTAAGTTACATGTAAAGTTTAAAGACAAAAGCTTGAAAAGTAGATTTACAACAATATGTTCTTTAAACTTTGCCATTGTATCTTTTAACTCTGTGCTTTTATAGAATGGAACTATAATTCACCTTTCCAATCTTTTTACTCTGTTGAAATTTTAATTTTCCATTATTTTGGACTTAATTTCATTTTATTATTTCAATGGGAGCTTCCAGCATTTAATCTTGCTCTTTCTCAGCGCTTTCGTGGCTTCAGGTACAGCTTCATGTTCTTGCTTTACTTTTTTCTTCTTCCCATTCTATTTAACTTGTTGAAATAGTAATTAAGATTATTCTTTTCTGATGAAATATTTTTAAAAGAACCAAGGTTACCGAGTACATATTGTACTGGCATAATTACCGCTATAGAATTTTACCTATTTGTTGAAGTTCTGCTTTTTGTAAATCACTGTCAAGTGAATAATTTCTAATGAGTAATGAATAGGGTCCCAAAATTTCAGATTTGCTTTTCCTTCCAAGTAGATTTTATTTCAAATCTCATCATGAGGCTTCCTTGCTTTCATTTCCAGATGTATCCTACCCAGCTGGCTTGATGGTTCCACTGACCAGATAGGGTTTGGGGCCTGAGTCAACAGAGATTCCAGTAAAAATACATCTGAAATGATTGCTGATTGGGGTAGGATTTGTCAAAGTGTGGTCCAAAACTGTCTTTATCTAAATCACCTCAGATGCTTATTCAAAATGCATCTGAGGTAAAAACCTAGAGCAGTTAAATGGGAAACTCTAGGTGGAGACTTAGAATCTGCATGTTGCCAAGTTGTCCAAGTCTGTGTAGACCCACAGTGGTATTTGAAAACTCCTAAATTTAAGGAATCCTTTCCCCTTCAGGGTCCAGTGCGTTAAATGACATTGGCTATAGAGTAAACTAGCACAAAGGAGAATTTAGTTCTACGGGCTGGGGGGAGAGGGAAACCTACCATAAACTCTTTTAGGTGGCATTGGTTAAAAATATAATACTTATTTTTAATATCTCGGTTCTAACAATCACAGAGGGAAGGCCCAAAAGTCTACAAAAAACCTATTGTTAAAATTTCCTGATTAATATTACACACAATGAATTATTTATTAAGCCCCTACTGTGAGCCAAATATGGTGTTTTGTGCTGCCAGGGATTATATAAAGCTATCCTGGGATGAAAAGCATATGTTCACTCTGCTCTATTCTAAAAGAACCTACTTGATTTAGTGATTGCTAGAATTGAATATGAATGGTATATGGAAAGGCAGTAATTTGATGTTTTAGGGTTCAGACATTGGAGGTTTCCTAAGGATTTGCTAAATGAAAATTTGGTTCAAAAGGTATAGATAGGTGTTTGGTTTATAGTCAAGCCACTGGGAAAGGAATGAGCAGCAGCATTTATTTGGATTCTTTATGGTCAGTGTTGATTACTTTATCCAACAATTGCCTTTCCTGTGCAATCACACCCCAGTACTGAGCAGATGAATTGAGACTAGACGCAACCGGACTGGGAATTCCACCTCATTCCAGAACTCATTTAGGATGTTTCTAGTAGGTTTGCCTGAGATCTTTTCTGTTTTAGCATTGAAAGTCCTATGTTCCAGAAACCCCTGTAATATTAGACAAACTGGGAAGTGTGGTCACCGAGGTCCTTAGAACAAAGCAGGTGAGGTTCCTAGTTGACCTAGTTTCACTCAGTGAATGATGAAAATCCACTACCACCTTGAATTTCTCAGCTCAGTTTCCTTACTAGATTACCCTAGCAGGCCACACAACATAATGTATTTTTCCTTCAGGGATTTCTGCCTTTAGCTCTGTCAAGACATATTGCCACAAGCATCCCATGCAATGACTCAGATTGAGGATAATCCCAGAGACCCAGGAGAGAGTAGCTTCCAAGATTTCTAAAATGGCCTTACAGGTGGCTTGTGTTTTTTTGTAAACATTGTGCCCGTCTCATAACCACCCTGTTTTTCTCAAAGTTGTATCTTCATCTCTAAGTAATCAGTCTGAAATATTATATTATGAATATAGAAACACGTATAGACAAAAAGGCCTGTTTGTAAAACATGAACCACTTACAATCCCATTCTGATTCTTGTCAGTGACTCCAATCAGTTTTTAAACATTCACATATCCCTTTCATCCCATCTTTACCCTTTAAAACCTTATGATTTTGTTATTTCACGGTCTTACCTTTTTCACCTAGATTTTAATATTTAACTGGTATTAAATTACTATCTCAAAGAGAATATGTAAAGTGTAGGGTTTCAATTAGATCTAGGTGGCGATGAAATTTTGCCCCTTACTAGGTGTATAAATGTAAGAAAGTTTACCTAAGTTTTAAAATGTGCCCATCTATAAAAAAGAAGAAAATAAAGGCTATTTTGGAGGATTGTTTTTTTTAAAGGAATGTAGATTATGGATGCGAAGCATATTGCCTAACACCTAATACTAACATTCAATAAACTGTAGCTATTACTCTCACAACAGTATCATAAGCTTGCCACAGCAGCACTCACTGTATCCAACGATCAGGTTGCCGAATTTTAGCCATCAAAGTTGATGCCTAAAGCCGAGAGGCCAAAGCTGCCTTTTCTAGAAGGAGGATAGAGGAGGAACTCTCATCACTTATGTTTCACGGCCTCTATCTGAAGAAGTGATGGTTCTTTTATCTGCGGACTGTGTCTAATGTCGTTTCGCCCCCTGGCAGTGTGTTCAGGAGGTGCTGGCTTTCAAATTTGCTCCCTTGGGACTTCTTGTGTCACGTCTCTCATTCTAGAAAGGGGAAGGGGTAAAGAAAAAGGGAAGTCACCGAAATGCAAAACCTGTCACCAGATGCCTTATTTTGTTCCGACTACCAGGCCTGCTTGGGTGGGCTGCACAAACGTTTCTCTACGAGATTTTCAGGCGCTACTCCCAGGTGTTTGTCAGCGCCGATACGGGGGTGGAGGATAAGTAAGCTCACCCTCGATACTGAAAGGCAGGTGGTGAGGGTTGGCCATGCGTGGTAGAGCTTTTGGCCGAGGGACAGAACAGCAGCGTGACGGTTTGCATGAGGGGTAGAAGAAGGAACAGCGGGAGCATGGCTGAACCAGGACTCAGAGAACTTCTTTGCGGGGGACACAGAACACTTCTTTGCACTCTCAAGAAGGTTCCCCTACTTGTCAGTGTTGCGCTGCTTGCCCATGAGCAGGGCAGGGACTTTGTGCGACAAGCGCCTTCCCCAATTCCGTACCTGAAACTCAATAACTAAACTGAGAGCCTTGGCGAATGCTGCGGGCAGAGGCACCAGCTTCGCGGAAAACCTCAGCCCAGCAGATAGCAGCTCTAGCAGTTGGTGCCCAGCCTGGCTCCGGCCCAATTCCGGAACCAGTTCTGAAGTACGGAACGTACCCTTCCTTTACTTGCCCACGAAACGGGTTGCGCATGCTCGGTGCGAGGGGGCGGGCCGCAGCCCGGGCCGGAAGCGTTCTCTCGCAGGCGGTGTTTCCTTCCTGTGTGGTACTAGTTAAGGGCTCCTGCAGCCGCTGCATTAGCACGGAGGTGAGTAGCGGGTTCCCGCCGGGCCTCGTGGGAGGGACGCGGGGTCCTGCTGAGATTCTTTAGGCACCGGCTTTGAACTGAGGAGCTCAGCGGGAAAGGTTACCTTTCCTTCCTCCCATGTGCCACCTCAGTGCCGCCCCCAGCTTCCCCCAACCCTTGGTATTTAGCGGATTAACCTCCAAGGGCGTCCCAGGCCTCCCCTTGGCTTCCCGCCTGGCCTAGGCCCTTAGGTCTCTGTTAGCGATGTTTTCAAGAATTATATTGTTTCCTACAGGGAATCTCTGTAGGCAGCGGGGTTACTGCTTGAGCTTGGGGTCGTCCAGGGCGACCACAGAACCGGGGTCCTAGGCAAAGGCGGCCGGAATGAACCGGGTCTTACTGTTGCACTGACACCGCTACCACCTAGTGCAAAAGCAGAGGTGGTTTTTAAGGCCTGGGCACACTTTCGCAGAGGATGATGTTAATTACGGCATGTCCTTTATGTGAAGGTTGGCAGTCTTTTAAACTATGTCTTTTAGACATAGTCTGTGTTTATAGGACCTTGATATCAGCGAACTGGGACTTTGAGGTTGAGAAAAACTTTGTAAAACACTGCAGTGATACAGGAGAGAAACACTATAGTGTGAACACTATACTCTCAGCTCTTAACCTCTCAGTGAGTTGCTCATTGACATAGTATTTCGATTTCAAAGTTTCCTACCCTGAAATGGAGAACTCTTAAAAATGAAACTACCTGGTGTCATGTTTTCCTAAGAAATAACTGGGTTTCAGTGTTCTGTGATATTTCGTAGTTGTGTACAGCACCATCTATGTTTATGTACGTAAATGTGTGCATTTTGTTGATCCTAATGTTTATACAAGGTTGAGATACATTCCCTACTGTGTGCGCATGCAGCTTTTTTCGTATATTCTGCTGTAATGGTGTTGTTACTGTAATGACCTTACATTGGAGGCATATCAGTGTCATGAATGGTAGATGAGTGTACCATAAAGTATATACAGTTACAGCCTACAAGTAGAAGTTTCAGTTTCATTTCAGGATTTTTAGGTCATTTTAAAAGGTGGCCATATTTTAGAAGTGGCCATAAGTCTAGACTACTGTATTACATATAATAATTCAATTATTGGATATACATAGTTAACCAAGGTTTTGTATCTTGATATTTTACAGGATTAAAATTGTTACTATCTGGATGACAGATGTACAGATAACAACCCAAGTTGTTCATGTAGTTCGTTCGAACATCCAGTAGATGGCAGTTTTGCCACTACCAAATCAAACTTTAAATGAAAACCTTTTTTTGAAATTCAGATTGTCTCTAGTTTTCACACATTGTTAGGTTAAAACCCTTATTTTTCCCTATTGGTTTATGTTCATTAATGAATAACGGCCCCACATAATGAAACCATGTATTCCAACTGCATTTTCAAATTTATACTTGGGATAGAGACTAGGGAAGTCAACTTTTCACATCCTGTAAGTAGAATATTGTTGACCTATTTTTAGGAATTCTTCTGATGAAAGAAAGCACACTTTGATTTGTTAGATGAGAGATTTTAATTAGATGGCTTCTCTTTAGCTCCATTAAAAAATACAATTAATATAATAACCAGATTGTGCATTCCTTGAGTAAAGTAATTGTATCTTAGCCATTATTGTATATCCAGTATATAGTAGGCAATACATATACAAGTTTGATAAGTGTTTTATCGTATGAGTTAAATCACTTAAGGCCAATGTTTCTTCCCCCAAAATGAAGGCTTTCAATTATTTATTTAAGTTGAAATTAGTCAACTGTAATTGAAAAATTAAAAATGACTTAAAAATTTAAAACTCCAAAATGGTATATCTTTCCATTAAGAAATTAAATAATGTTCTATTGTAAAGTGAATGGATTCTAGTAACGGAGAAGTAAAGTCAATGAAACCCTTGACTTGTCTTTGGGAATTGTTCGAAAGTCTGGCAGCAATTGTTTTGGTGGAATTGAATGTGAGGTTTTTCTGCAGTTGCAATTTATCTGTTGAACAAGTAATTATTAAATAGCTTTTTTATATGTGACAATTATAAAAATGGGTAAGATATAAATTCTGTTTATAAGGACTTAAACTCTAGTTCAGTAGAATCAATATCACGTAAGTTCAAAAATAAGGCCAAATGAATAATATAGAAGATTAATGTGATCTGAAAGCCTTCATAGAGCATGTTAAGTTTTGAAGTTTGGGTTATATTTGACTAACCCCTAGATAAATGGGGAGAAATGGCCTGTCCAGGATACCAGGCAAATATGCTAGAGGGAAAATACATGGGGGCATTTTCAGGTCCTAGTGACATCAGCTATTGAGAATTCCTATTGAGAAGCGATGAGAACTAAAGTGCTTAAGTCACTCTTTCGGGCTGGATTAGAGTAGTCTTGAATGGTTGGGGTACCTGTAAATAAAAGGAAATATTTGGGGTCTTTTGGGGGGTGGTGGGGAGGAGTTTGTATTCTTGAATGGAGGGGAGGTGTCTGAAAGGAATTTCAAACTTGTTGGCACTATTTTAGCGGGAAGCGCATGAAGAGGATCTTTAATTGGATAGTGGTAGTGAGAAGGGAAATAAATTCAGAGCTAGGAAAACCATAGTTATTAACCCGCGCAGTTCCTAGTTTTTACCTGTTGCTGAGCCATTTGTATAAAATTCTGATTTATTCCTTTTCAGGTGAGTGCAAAATATATACTGTGTTTTTTTTTCCTTGTCACATAACACTGAGCACTTGCCTGTGCTAGGAGAGTATAAAGCATTATTTGAAGCTGAGATCTCATTTCCCAAAATACGATAGTTACATTGTCCCCAATGTATCAAGCTTATTCTTCTGGGTAGTCATTGCTTTTGATAGGGTTATGCATGCCTGCTGTAAGCCTAGCTGTGACTGATGTAGCTGCTCAGAGATAAATGTAAAAAGTAGGCACATTGCCTTCTTTGTCCTTTCTCCATTGGATGTGTGCTATATTTTTGTGGTTCAGAAATGTGTGAAGATTCTGGACAGATGTAGCTGGGTTTTTGGAAACAAGTATGGCTCAAAAAAATTGATGTCACCTGTTAAGGAAATGAATGTTTAAATTTAAGCAGGCTTTGAACACCTTTAAAAGTAAGTATGAGGAAATAGTTCACAATTTGAATTTCACTTAAAATTATCTGCTTTACATTATATTTAATAAAAGAAATTTTTACCTTCACATTAGTAAAAGTATTTCATTGTTGTGCTACCTTTCTTCGCTTAGGTTAGTGTTATAGTCAGTATTTTTCTAGGCTCTAACATAGTTATTTTAAAGTGGTTCGAAGATCTTTTTCAAATAGAATTATTCTCTACTTAAATTATATGAGCTTTTAGGAAAGTTCATTAAAAACTCGAATAAATTCAGTTTCTAATCTGTTTCTTCAGTTTCTAAGGGGAGCTTAAAATGTGCTTGTTTACCTAACATTTAAAAATCCATTTTTTCTAAAAATACTTTTTTAAGGTAGGTGATATTGAATTTGACTAGTAGTTTTTGTTGCTTAATTTAAGGTACTTATCAGCTTCCCGATTTTAATGACTAGATATTAACCAGTGACATTTCTGTTTGTTTTTTAAGGGTACTGTCAAGATGGTACATGCTGAAGCCTTTTCTCGTCCATTGAGTCGGAATGAAGTTGTTGGGTTGATTTTCCGTTTGACAATATTTGGTGCTGTTACATACTTTACAATCAAATGGATGGTAGATGCAATTGATCCAACCAGAAAGCAAAAAGTAGAAGCTCAGAAACAGGTATGATTAAAGTATTTGAGGATCATTTTTCTTGTAGCTAGCAAGTGTTTTTCCATAAAACTAAGGATATAGTAGAATTATAAGTTAATGAGAAGTTCTGTAAGATTAACATTAAAATGTTATGTCATATTTAATTTCATTTCCCAAGTCCTTTTTGGTATATCAGCAACTTGGAAGAGATAATTATGAAGAATGAAAATACTAGATTATTGGGTTGTGAACACTTTCATTAGATTATTTTGTCAGCTATTTGTTACCTAAAGGAATCTAGGTAAAACTTTTGAACAACTTAAACTAAGTTTATTTTTAGTAAGTACATTTTGCTTTGTATGACATATAAAATGTGCATAATACAAGCTGTCAGTCTTAGAAATTATACTAATGTCCAATTAAGGAATTGCTAAAAAAAATGTTATTGTTAATACAAGTTGTAATTTTATTTTTCAGCTACTGCCTCTTGTGATATTTTCCTCATTAGGATGATTCATTTGTTTCGGTTTTTATTTTTCTTTGAAAAACCAAAGCCTTCAAGGAGTCTTTCAAATTTCTCTTGCTATTTGAAGGCAAGATGTTTTATTCATGGATTTTTAGATTTCTTTTGTGACTTTTGACTGATGCATTCAAAAAACCCTTATTAAGCGCCTACAAATACTTGGTGCCAGAATAGAAGATGAATAAATCTTGTTCTTTCAAAAGCTGTAGGCTGTCCTGGCTGGTGTGGTGCAGTGGATTGAGTGCCAGTCTGCGAATCAAAGGGTTGCCAGTTGGATTCCCAGCCAGGGCACATGCCTGGGTTGCAGGCCAGGTCCCCAGTAGGAGCTGCACGAGAGGCAACCACACACTGATGTTTCTCTCCCACCTTTTCTCCCTCCCTTCCCCCTCTCTAAAAATGAATAAATAAAATCTTAAAAAAAAAAAAAAAGCTGTAGGCTGGTGTGAGAAATTGGGATGTAAAGAAATGAGCTCTTTGCCATTCTACCCATAGCTCTTAAATCAATGAAAACTGTAGTCTCATAAATACTGCTTGCTGTATGTATGTCTGAAAACCAGTTTGGACAGTGGTGAGTTTATTCCCTGGTTTCAATTATAAAATAATAAACTTGGGGTGTATCATATCAGTCAATTCATAATTCTCTAGGAGTCTTACCAGTATAGTTTTTTTAAAAAATGATTTTGAGTATATCCACATGTCAGCATAAGTACAGCTTCCCCTCTACCCCAACCTAAATCGTGAAGGTCAATTAAAGTCTGAGGTCAAACTATTGATAATATAGATAGATAGATAGATAGATTGATTGATTTTAGAGAGAGATTGGAAGAGAGAGAAACATCGGTTTGTTCCATTTATTTATACATTTATTGGCTGATTCTTATATATGCATTTTTAAAAGCTTTGTATCAGTGATTACCTGTCTACACTGACATTGGAGTACTGTAGCTGTAACCTCAGTAAAAAGGTTTTTAACCTACATTTAATTAGTTCATCTCTCTCCCTTTATTCTTCATCCATTAATGCCATCTCTAACTTTCTAAAATTATTCTTCGAAAAGAACAACTAATTTTAGTAATCTTGTAGAACATGAATGAAATGAGTGTTTGTTTTATTTTGTACCTTTTCTCCACTTCCTCTTTCCCCAGCTTAGGCAAAAATATTAGTTCACTGCTTCCTCCCACTTCTTAATTTTTTTAGTTATACTTCCTGTGGAGAAAAAAGAAATAGCATGGAAGGGTAAAAAATACTACAAAACAGTTAAAAGGTGTGTATGCAGTAAAATGTAAGTTTCCCTCCTACCTCCGACTCCCCTCATAAGCCAGTTCATTTTTCCTCTGTAAATCACCTACTTGGGGAGGCCTACTTAAAAACTAAGAAAATGCTGGTAACTAGAAAATGTAATTGTCATTAAGCCATGGGTGATAAACCAGCACATGAACATAAGCCATTTTTAGAATAATCCGATCATAATTTTGTTTTTCTAGTTAAAACACTTTAGAAATAGAGGCTCAGTTAAATGTGTTGAAGCCAGGCAATTGGATAACTTATTCTTGGAAAAGACTTTGGTAGTAGTATGGTGTTTTGGGGTGCTTTTCATTTATTTTTTAAACCATGTTCTGTTCTCCCAGATGAGGAATATTATTAGCATTTCAGCTGAATGTCAGCTTTGAAGTTAGACAAATTAGGGTTTGAGCTCTGGTAATGCCAGTTTCTAGCTGTAGAGGCTTGGAGTTTTCATTTCTTTGGCCCTTAAGCTCCTCATCTGAGAAATGAGAATAATAATAGCTATTCTCAGGGTGGTTTAACAGATTAATTATAAAATACCCAGCCCAGTACCAGGCATATGGTGGATGCTCAATAAACGTTAATTTTTTTCTCCATGTTATTAATGCAACCTGAAGACATTGTTAAATGGGACTGCTGTTATGGGGAAAAAGGTACTGAGTAAACTTGACTAGGACAATTTCTATTTCTGTAGGGTAAAAAGCATAGTTGATCATTTTTTTTTTTAAGGAAACCCCAGATAAGGGCTGTTGCTATTAAAAGCAAGAGGTAACTTTGGCTTGGAGAAAACTTTTGAGGCCAGCTACCTAATGGGGAGGGAGGCAGGTTTTTTCAACTTGGCACTAATGCCATTTGGGGCCAGATAACTGGGTAGGGTGCGATGGGGGCAGGCGATCCCGTGCCTTCTAGAATGTTTAGCAGCATCCCTGTCTCCGTTGACTTAGATAGATGCCAGTAGCACTCTTCCCCTCACCCAAATTGTCACAACCAAAAGTGTTTCAAGACTTTGCCAAATGTCCCCTTGGGTGCAAAATTACACCCATTTGAGAACCTAAAAAGGAACACATGTGGGATGGCTTCACATTTATAGAATCATAATGAAAAAGAAGAGTTAATGTTATTACAGATACTAAAATAGGACACTTTTCATAGCTGACACATAAAAGATTTAAAGGCAGTGAAAGAGAAGATATTTACAAGAAAGAGATAAAAGGACCTGGGTCAAGCAACTTTATCCATTGAGTAATTTTATAGGGGCATGGCTAGATAGGAATAATGATGTGGGTCATAGCACTTTTAAAAAATGTTGTTATTACTAGGATATGGTCCATACATTTATCCTAGTCTTCTAACCAGTCCGTAACTGTAATGCTGTGTGATTTTAATTTCCTTTTAGAGCAATAATATATTCCTCTGACAAACAGCAAGATCTTATATAATCACAAGTATTTTAGGAAAAGGTAACAAAAATTTAAGTAAATACATGATTTAGCAGGGCACTTTCATTTCCAAAAATACTCACCTATTTGAAATTTGAATGTTATTTATAGATCATTAAAGACTCTCTCGCGGTCATAAACTTCCTTCATATAACTGGGGAAACCAAAGTAACACGTGGGGTGGTTAGAGTATGGGCTTGAGTATTGGATTGCCTGAGTTTGCTTATTGTCTCTGTCATTGGCTCACTTTAATGCTTTTAAACTAACGCATTACTTAATCTGGGCTAAACTTGGGTTCCTTTTTCCATCATGGGAAATATGTGCCTATCTCATAGGCTCATTCTGAGAATTCAGTGAGTTAATCTATTTTTAGTATTTTGACATAATATTTGACATACCCAGTAAATATCATTATTATGCTTATTTTAATTGAAAGCTTTGCTGCATTGATAGAACTCATAAGTGTCAGATTAGTTTTGCTCAGCTTTAAAAATATATATAAGTATACTTCTCATTCAGAATCATTTTTATTATATCTGAAGGAATTGACTTTAACTGAAAGTGACAGCATCTCAGAACAACTTGAGAGTAGATAGATAGGAACACTTGTCCATTTCTTGATATCCTTAATCCGTAGTCTTATATCTTGAGATTTAATCTATGCTTGTATGATTCTTCTATTGTTAAAGAAAAATCAATTTGGACCTTAGAATCTCATTGAAGCAATGTGAGGCCCTGTATATATCTTCAATCATGTTCCTATTTTCTCATTTCTCCTCATTTCCCAGGAGCTGGTTTAAACTGCCCTTGTTCTGTGGAGTAGACCCTCAAATTTTTCTTTACCTAAGGATTTAGAATGGGAAAGAAGGAAATCAAAAGGCCTAGGGTATTCTGGGGAAATTCTTGTATGTTTGTTCATTGCTTTTTAGGTTTCATAGATGCCTATTTTGAAATGCCAATATCTCAATATCAAATTAAAGAAGGTTGTTTTTATCTTTCTAGGCGGAGAAATTAATGAAGCAAATTGGTGTGAAAAATGTGAAGCTTTCAGAATATGAAATGAGCATTGCTGCTCATCTCGTAGACCCTCTTAACATGCATGTATGTATCTTTAATCTCATTTAAGGTTTTTTCTCTAGAATTTTGTGCCAGTGGTCTTGCAGGCCATAACCAGGTTTGATTATTCTCTAGGAATCACAGCACTCAGGATAATGGTACTCATGGATATGATTGATTGATTGTTGGTTGATTTTTAATAGTTTATTTTTATTGTATTTTTTCCATTGCCATTTAATCCCTGTATACCGTCTTCCACTTCCACGTCCCCCACCCCAGATATGATTCATTACAGCAAAAGGATACCAGGCAAAATCAGCAAGGAAGGAAGGTCATGGGATAAAGTGGTAAAGTCTGAAGGAAATCAGGCACAAGCTTCCAAGAATCTTTTTCCAGTGAAGTCACACAGGATGCGCTTGATTCCTCCAGCAACAAGTTTTAAGAATAATGTAAAATGTTCTCCACCAGGGAAGCTCATTAGAGACTTTATTCCCAGGGCTTTTGTTGGTATTGGTCATGTAGACTTTGTTTATATAACATCTACCAAAATTCTGACAGAAAACAAGTATCTGCCCAGACTATGTAGTTTGCACAGTTGAGGCACACACAGTGAGCTGTTCTTACAGGGAAGATGAGAGCCCTTCTAAAACCTAAGTTCCCACACTCCAGCCAAGGGCTTGCCTTGTAACTGGGCTTTCTGAGGATGGTAGTCTCAGTCCTGTTATGTTAACTTAATTCTGTGCACATTCATTTAGTTGAACTTGTGCTTTTCTATATTTACCTTTGTGACATATAAAATGTATTGCTGTAAGTCATATGAATATTTGATTTGGAGTTTAATTCTAGATTTTCATAATGAGCCATGGTAGGCAACACAAGATTCTAAATCCTGGTTGTCCATTCATGGCCTTGGCAAATTATTTCTTCTTTGAGTCTTAGTTCCCTCATGTATAATCCAGTAGAATATCTGCTGTGTCTACTTGAAAGGGGTTATTCCAAGGATCAGACTAGTGTAATTTATAAACTCTAAAATCCTATTTGAATATTTTATGAGAAGAGGAATAAATTTTGTAACAAGAAGTATAAATGAAATACAGTAATATCATATTCCCAAAAGTAGAAAAAAAATCTACAATGTCTGTTATTATCTGTACGCACAAAGATAAATACCCTCAGAATTAATCCACCATTTAAATTTGATTTATACATTTACAGTGGTACCTTTTTGAGGCCTTACTGATGTTCACTTTTGAATAAAATGTACTGACAGATTTAGTTTTTTGTAAGAGCTACAGTGAAAGTAGGTGATAATGTTTTTGGATTTGGCTGCAGTTTTTCACTTTTTTTTTAAGTTGTAAAGAAAGTAAATTTGTTGTAAGTACTACTTCTGCCTGGCTCCACATTCAGTCCATTGCTTAGCCACATTAGAGTTACGTTGACTTTTTTTTTAAGGTCTTTTCAGTTATTTTTCAAAAAAAATTTTTATAAGGTTGAATCAGAAAGCTTTAAAATACACAAGCTGGGTCTATTTTGAAAGTGTTCATCCCCTATTTATTATTTATAAAGACAAGTTTACTTTTGATTCAGAAATCCAGTTTGGTGGGTATAGACTTTTTTTCTAAAATCCATTTCTGTTATGTTTGACAGCCTCATTTAGGAATTAGGCATACTTCCGGTGATCTCTTCCCGATCACCAGTGCTGAATTAATTGAGCCAGTTTTCTGTCTTCTTGGCAGGGTACCGTACTTCCTCCTCTTAGATGGAGTGAATTCGGCTTAAGTCCCTGAAGAGTTTTGAATGTCAGACCTAGTGCTTTTTTTTTTTTAAGTTGTTTTTTTTTTTAAAATCTTTAGAGGGTAAGGGAAAGAGAGAGGGAAAGAAATATCAATGTATGGGTTCAGAGGCCTGCGCTCAATCCACTGAGCTGCATCAGCCAGGGCTTTTTTTGTTAAATACTAGATAATTGACTATTAAATTTTTTTTCCGTGTCATGGTAGTTTAATTTCGTTACTGCTATTAAAAGTTTTTATTCACATTGTTATGACCTTAATCTTTTATTATTTATATCTAATTATATTAAATTTTGCCATTTTAGGGGGATTTTTTAACTTTAGCGAGTGTACATCACCTGTAAAATTCATGTTGCCCTTTTACCAGGTTACTTGGAGTGATATAGCTGGCTTAGATGATGTCATTACAGATCTGAAGGACACAGTCATTTTACCTATCAAAAAGAAGCATTTATTTGAAAATTCCAGGCTTCTGCAGCCTCCAAAAGGTAACGTGAAAGTTTATATTTGCTACAGCATTAAAAATCTTGGAAACATCAAAACTTCCTGTCATTATCCAATTGATGGTTTTGAAGTTAGATTTTCAAGAGAATGCCAAGATCCAGTAAACTTTTATAAATAATAATAGTTGTGATATAATTGCTCATGCTTCAGCTCCCCAAATTTAGATTTTTTCCCCTATAGTTACATTGTAAAATAATCCCATTCTTTTAAACTCTTCTATTACTTCCAAGTAAATGCAAATTGGGGAAGTCAAGGTAAAAAAATATTCAAAGTCACCAGATGGGATTTTTTTGTTGGTTTTGTTTTCAAGATAAGACTTTTTTAAAATTTAAGTTGGTTGGAGTGACATTGGTTGATAAGATTATGGAGGTTTCAAGGGTGCCATAAGACTTTTTGTTATTTTACAATTTTAGTGATTTTTTCCCCTCTCCTAATGATTTCCACTTAATTATTTTTAGTGCAGTGATTTATTTTAACAGTAAATACTGAACTACAAATGAGCTAGAAATTAAATACACCTTATTTTTAAGGGAATTTTTTTCTTGTTCCTAGTTAGTAATCACTTTGAAAACCTTAGAACTCAAAAATTGAAAGAGCTTATAACTTCACCCCTAAATGTAGTATTTTGATTCTTGTTCACTCAAATAGTAATCATGTTTAAACCTTGTTAAAAGTGTCTTAAATGAAGCTTAAATGATACTTGACAGTGAGATGGAGGTATGTAACCATGGCTTTCAGATACCAATGCTATTGTGTAGCTTATTTATTTTCACCTAGTTGAAGTTTCTCTTTATTGGGTGCCAAAACTATACAAGTTTGATTTATGTTGATAATCAAGACTGAACTCAAATTATTAGGAATGAGAATTTTTCAAAAAATAGAGTTTTTAGAAGTATCAAAATAGCACTTTGTGTAAGTTATGGTTGCTTATCATCTTATTTTGCAGCTGTATCAAAAAGTGCATTCATTTATATTTCAGTGGTAATTGAAGCTGATACCTATACATTTTAATGAAGTAAATAATTTTTGTTTCCAGTAAATAGAGGATGACAAATTATCACCAAAAATATAATGTTCTTTTCATTAACTAAAACAACAAAGTTGTTTATTAGGTATTTTTATTTCCTGAAGCAACAAAGCTGCTTTTATTCCCCCTAACAAAAAGCATTTAGTTTATGGGATTTTTTTCCCCTGGAAAAAATATCTAGTGGTTTATCTAAGCCTAGATTAAAAGGCTAAGGTAATTACTTACTTAGTTTCACAATATTAGCAAATTTAGGCCAGACAAGTGCTTTTTATATGTTGTTAGAGAAAGCTCCTTTTCTTATCAGCAATGTTTTAATCTAGGTAATTGGGTGATTTCACCAGTTGGACTTGGTTTAAAGCCCCAGTCAAGCACAGCAAAATTTCAAAATTATGAAAAGATACTTCAGCAGTTTTGTGTAAATCTGCTGCTTATTTGAAAGCATTATCCAAAATTAGAGATGGTTCCTATGTGTATTTTAAATTTTTTAAAGTTTACACAAGTATCTCTGGATTATATAATCTAAAGTTTTACTATTTGAGTTTTTCAGCATTGCATTTTTGGAAAATAAATTTTTTTAATGACAGACAAAAGTTTGAAAAATCATTGATTGTTTTGACCTATAATATAAATAGAACATTAGTATACTAAAGCAGAGTATAACATTAGTTGGGTACCACACTTTGTACTACACCTGTTTCTGGACTAGAAACAGGTTACCTACGTTAGTTTAGAGTCATTGCTTTATTTCCAAGTTTGTTATCTTTAGACAGTTCATTGCTAGCTATGCTGAAAATGATCACTGTGTAACAGACTACAAAATAATAATTTTAGAGTTGAACTGTAAAATTGATCACTCTGCTCCAACTTTGCCTTTTGTGATCTTATTATGATCTTGAGGAGATCTTATTATGATCTCTTACCAAGATTATAATAAGATCACAAAAAGGCAAAGTTGGAGCGGAGCAGTCACACCAGTAATCAGTTATAAGAGCATATATTAATGGTTGCATAAAAATGTAACGCTTATCCAAACATTTAAAATTTTACAACAGTTAAAATTCCATTTGAATACTTGATGGCTCTCTTTATAAACTCTGAATTCAGTAATTATTATTTTTCCACATAACTTTTATGTTTGTGAATCTCATCATATTTCATGTTTTAATACATTCTTAAAAATGTAGAAAACCTAAAAGAATTTTTTGAAAAATTGATTTTCTGAGATCATAAATGTCTATAGTAATTTCCCCCTTCTCAAATACCTTATATTAAAGTAAGTTTAATTTTTACAAGCTATTTTTCTATCACTTGGACAAATTTTTAATTTAAAACTTGAAAGTCAATAAAGTAGTCCAGAAAAGAAAGGTAATATATTTATTGGTATTAAGGATTACCTCAAATTTGGATCCATTTGTCCCAATATGTCTTTTCTTTCTCATCCTAAATTGTTCATTTGCATGCAGTACTTATGAAATAAAGCCCTTAACTTAAACCGTCCATCTTAAAAATGGATTAGAATTTTTAAGTGTCTCTACAGCACAAAATAATAAACACATTTTTATTTTGTTGGGAATGGTTCTAAAAGAATCAGACTAAACTCAAAAAACTAGTTAAAAGGTTGCGAAATTACTGCTAAATGCCTCATATTCATTTGCAGAGCCACTCATTTATCACCCTTCATAAATATAAACACTGGAGTCCACTTCCACAAAAGGTATAGAAAGGGTGCCACTTTCCATATAATAATACTGCTAGACTCACTGATAAGGTGTCAGATGAGATAATGTCAGATGAGATAAGGTGCTCCTCACGTGCACTTTATCTATCTCAGCTAGACTATGAAATTCAGAAGCTGTCACTGCATACTGAATTAGTAAATAACTACTTGATTAATAACACTGATTATAATGCCTGAAGAGAAATAACTGGAAACACTTAATCCTGCTAAGAAGTACCAAAGCTAAACTATTAGGAATAAACATTCAAAGTGATAAATGAATACTGTGAAACAAATATAAGAGTACTGCATAAATTAATGAAGTGATGGTATAGCTGCACAATCAAAATATGAGGGTTGTTGCATCAATAGTTAGTTCTAAAACCCTGAGATTCAGGTAATGTGTAAATAAAAGTTTGCTAGTAGAATTGCATTCTGTATTAAATTGTGATCAGAATGGTAAATGTGATAATTCCAAGCTTCTGCAGTCATTCTGTTTTCAGCTTTGAATTAAATGGCATTAGACTGCTAATCTATGTTGTTCGAATGAGATATCCAAAAGAAGAGTTATCAATAGATGCTTCAAATTATAACTGCCTTAATGAATGACATTTTTAGCACTTAGCTAAATGAATTTAATTAAAAATAGCAAAGACTGCTTGAAAATATACACATGTATTGGTAAAGGTTATAGATTTAAATTTTAAAATAAACTTTTAAAAGTTTGCTTGAAAATATTAAACTTAGTTGAAACAAAGAATTCTTATGAAGAGCACTAGAAAATTCTTTGTGTCTGAGGAAAAGTTTGAACATTTTGAAGTGCTTAATCTGAAAAAAAATTGTTAGGTTCATGGAAACAAGCTCAAGTTTATCATTTTTTGTTTTTAAGAAATGAAAATTTAAGGGGGATTTTATATAATATTTATTTTCCTTCTATCATATTGTATATTTATTTATATTACATAGGAATATTTGGATACCTTCAGACCCTCTTCATCTTACCCTAGCATGCTGTAAATATATTATCATTCTTTAAGTGCTACTAGATGAGAAAAGCTAAAAAGCTGAATTAAGCAAATATTTAAAGAAGTGTGCAGGTTACAATTTGCATCAGGCCTGTCAATAGCTGATCTGTAGACAAGGCCATAATTTTATTGTTTTATTAGCTTGGAAAAATGCTACCTCATTTTATTTGAAAAGCAGTTGATGATTCCCAAAATGCTCGACACCAACCTGTGTGAGTATCTTAAATTGCACTTAGAGCAAACTGATGTCAGTGGAGACTATAGATTAATAATACAGTTTTATTCCTTGGGAATTAAAACAGGAGTGACTGGTCATTTCTGTTTCTTTAAGAAGATGTTATTATCTGTTTGGAAAAAGGCACATGGCCTTTTGAATGAAACTTTCTCTGAGCAGTAGCAAAACAGTGCTCGCTACAATCTGTTTTGAAGTTGATTTTCTCTGGGCTGTTGTTAGTGCAAGAGTGCTCTGTTAGCTTGTGAAGATAGAGGGTGTTAGATGTTTTTATTTGTCAACTGTTGGTCGAGTGTTGTGAGTTTGGATGTCAAGGTGATTGCCTCTAACATCCTGAACAGTACCTTTTCATGAAGGCAGAAGGCATAAGGTGCTGTAATCCCCAAAACTTGTCATCACAGACACTGAATGTAGAATATGGCTCATTCTTTTTCTACTATTAAAAAAGATTTAATGAAAACAAGTGAATATTGGGGAAAAGTTTAATATGGGCAGATTAATGTTATGTTGATTATCACATAACTAAATCGAATTTTTGTTCTTTTAAAGGGAATAACAAAATAACATGTTAATTTCCAGGCGTTCTTCTCTATGGGCCTCCAGGCTGTGGTAAAACGTTGATTGCCAAGGCTACGGCCAAAGAAGCAGGCTGTCGGTTTATTAACCTTCAGCCTTCAACACTGACAGATAAGTGGTATGGAGAATCCCAGAAATTAGCTGCTGCGGTTTTTTCCCTTGCCATCAAGCTGCAGCCTTCCATCATCTTTATAGACGAAATAGGTATGCTGTGTTTTCTACGGGAATATTTTAAAACACCATTTTTAAGGGTGACATTTAGATGACTGGGTGGAGTTTAAAAATTTTTTTGCCCAAATTAATAAAAGAGATAACCACCATCCTGATATGCTATGTGTCATTTCTGTGGTGCTGAATGAGTCTGTTCATTATCCTGCTTGATAGTTTGTTCTCTCTTTTCCCTCTTACAAACAGAAAGCACAAAACATCCATTTACATGTTTCCTCATGCACATATGTGTCCAGGGTAGACACCTGGGAGTTGAACCGTTAGCCTCAGTGGGACTACCAGCTGTTCATGTGGTTGTACTTGTTTTCACTTAGATTACTCTGTAGTTTGTATCCCTAGATACTTTCTAAAATTGTTTTTTCAGACATTATTATTTGTCAATTTAAATAGCATGAATTATTGCATCTTTTTAATTTGGGTTTTACTGCTTACTATTAAATTTGGGTGTTTTTTAACATGTTGATTGGTTATTTGTGTCTTTGCCTGTAAATTGTCATTTTTGGGGGGATGATTTTTCTTGGAAATTCTTTGTTGATATTCATTATAATTGCCAGTATTTTCTTGACTGCCTTATTTTTTCACTTTTATGATAACTTCTTTTACAGAGATATAAATTTTAAAGTAGGCCTTGGCTGGTATGGTTCAGTTGGTTGGAACATCATCCAATGGACTAAAAGCTTACAGGTTTGATTCCCAGTCAGGGCACATAACCAGGTTGTGGGTTGGGTTCCTGGGTCAGGGTGCTGTATGAGAAGGCAACTAGTTTGTATTTTTCTCTCTCTACCTCCCTCTCTCTCTCTCTCTCTCTCTCTCTCTCTCGTCTGTCAAAGCAATGAGAAGCCCTGACTTATGTGGGATTGCCCCACACAACCAAAAGGTAACAACCTTGGTTCACTTACAGGCCAGGTCCCCATTAGGGTGCCTGCAAGACATGGCCAATCCATGTTTCTCTCCCTCTCTTTCTCCCTCCTTTCCCCTCTCTCTAAAAATAAATAAAAATGAAATCTTTAAAAAGTAAATAAATAAAAGAAATGAAAAATGTGCTCAAGTGGGGATTTAAAAAAATGAATGTTGTTACGTTTATAAGTTTTTTTCCTTTATAATTTATACTTGTGTGTGGTTTCCAAATCCCTACACTGTCCCCATAAATATTCTCCTTTAAAAAAATACATAGCCTGAAGTAGGAATCTAATTTCATTCTTTTCTGTATCAACTTACAATATAGACCATCTTTTCTTTTTTAAAAATATATTTAATTAATTATGCTATTACAGTTGTCCAATTTCCCCCCTTCACTCCCCTCCACCCTGCACACCTCCTCCCACCCACATTCCCCCCCTTAGCTCATGTTCATGTGTCACAAGTTCTTTATCTTCTACATTTTCCACACTACTCTTGCCCTCCCCCTATCTATTTTCTACCTACTGCCTATGCTACTTATTCTCTGTTACCTTTTCCCCATCTCTCCTCCTCCCACTTCCCTGTTGCTAACCCTTCATGTGATCTCCATTTCTATGGTTCTGTTCTTGTTCTAGTTGTCTGCTTAGTTTGTTTCTGTTTTTGTTTAGGTGTGGCTGTTAATAACTGTGAGTTTGCTGTCCTTTCACTGTTCATATTTTTTTAACTTCTTTTTCTTAGGTAAAAGATGTCCCTTTAACATTTCATATGATAAGGGCTTGGTGATGATGAACTCCTTTACTTGACCTTATCTGGGAAGCACTTTATCTGCCCTTCCATTCTAAATGAAAGTTTTGCTGGATAAAGCAATATTGGTTGTAGGTCTTTGGATTTCATGACTTGGAATACCTCTTTCCAGCCCCTTCTTGCCTGGAAGGTCTCTTTTGAGAAATCAGCTGACAGTCTGATGGAAACTCCTCTGTACGTGACTGTCCCCTTATCTCTTGCTGCTTCTAGGATTCTCTCCTTCACTTTAATCTTGGCTAATGCAATTATGATGTGCTTGGTGTGTTCCTCTTTGGGTCCACCTTCTTTGAGACTCTATGAGTTTCCTGGACTTTCTGGAAGTCTATTTCTTTTGCCAGATTGGGGAAGTTCTCCTTTATTATTTGTTCAGATAAGTTTTCCACTTGTTGCTGTTCCTCTTCCCCTTCTGGTACCCCTATAATTCAGATGTTGGAATGTTTAAAGATGTCCTGGAGGTTCCTAAGCCTCTCCTCATTTTTTGAATTCTTGTTTCTTCCTTCTTTTCTGTTTGGTAGTTTCTTTCTTCCTTCTAGTCCACTCCATTGATTTGAGTCCCAGTTTTCTTCCTATCACTATTGGTTCCCTGTGCATTTTCCTTTATTTCACTTAGTGTAGCCTTCATTTTTTTCATCTAATTTGTGACCAAAATCAACCAATTCTGTGAGCATCCTGATCACCAGTGCTTTGAACTGTGCATCTGATAGGTTGGCTATCTCTTGGTGGCTTAAAAGTATTGGCTCTGGGGCTTTGATCTCTTCTTCCGTTTGAGCCATTTTTTTGGTGGGGGGAGGGTCCTGGTCACGCCTGTTATGTAGTGAGGGGCGGAGCCTTAGGTGTTCAACAGGGTGGGGAAAACACCCCCACCCAGGCTGGGTTGTGACACTGTATGTGGGGGCAGGGTCAGAGAGGGAATAATGGTGCTTACTCTGCTCTCTCTTGGATTTTGGTTCCCTCTGCCACTTTCCACAAGCAAATTGGGCCCTTCTGGTGCTGGTTCCCAGGTGTGTGGGCTTGTGTACATTCTAGGACCCTGTGTGTCTCTCCAATGAAATCTCCTGTGAAGCTGGGAGTCTCTCCCGGCACCTCAACCCCCACACGTGTTTTCAGTCGGTTTTTAGGCTTTATTTCAGTCACTGGGGCCCAGGGTTGCTTGGTCTGTCTCGTTACCTGTTTCCACCTAGTTTACTTGCACGCGAATGTATGACCATAGTCAGTCAGCCACCTTGTACCCTCACTGGGTTTGCTCATTGCCACGCCATGCCTGGGGTCTGCTAACAGCCACCTGTGCGCCTGGGTCCGCCAACCAGCCACCACTTTTTCCTGCCACGACCCCTCTCTGCCAGCTGCCAGCTCTATCCCTCTTACCGGTCTGGATGAATGGTTGTTGGACTTCCATACGGTTTGATTTTCTGTCAGTTCCGGGGGGGTGTTGTTTGTTTCTAAATTTTTGTTGTCCTTAATTTTGGTCGTGCGAGAAGGCACTGTGTGTCTACCTATGCCTCCATCTTGGCTGGATGTCCATCTTTTCATGTATTTAATGACTTTATTATTGGACTTTTTTTGTATTTTATAGATCACCAATATTTTTGTTCTGTTCCTGGTATAATAAGTTACGTATAAAATAAAACCTGTAATAATTAAAGTTATAGCTTTGAGTTTAATTATACTGTTAAAATACACTACGCTGTATAGAAATACAGAGAAAGATCTAGATAATATAGTACTTTGATTACTTGTGTGTGTTTTGTATTTTTCTCATCAGTGTATTCCAGTTATTTTGGGGTTTTGGTGTACATTTTGCACAAAAGAGCATGTTGCTGGGTTTTTTAAATTTTTAATCTAAGGCTCTTTAACTGGGAGATATGATCAGTTTGTCTTCATTTTGATAGCTGACATATTTAGATTTATTTTTACTACATTACTATGTGCTTTTTATTTACCAATCTAGTGGACTGGTTTGCTTTCTTCATTCCCCTTTCCCTGCTGCAGGTTTAAAAGTTACATATTTATTTTCTTTTAGTGAAATATTTAGCATACCTACTTGTCTTAAAAGTCTAGGCTAATCGTTTCTACCTTCCTCCCAAATAATACAAGGGCCTTAGAATTCAAGTGTTCTCATCTCTTGATGTTGTTGACCTCTGTTCATCTCTTACATGTTGTTGTTAACTAACATTTTTTCTTATGCTCTCCATATTTATTATTATTTTTATATTGGCATTGCTTGTTTAGAGACCCATCTTTGCCAGGTTTTTGCTCTCTATTGCTTCTTGCACCTGCCTTTTCTGTGGATTTATTTTTCTTCTTACATAAGTCTGTTGAAGTTCTTCAGCAAAGATCATGCATCCTGTCTTTCTGTAAACAGTCTGTCAATTCTGCTATCACTATTTAATGATAGAGAATTATTTTCTTGTAGCATTTTGCAGCTGTAAGTTTATGATCTTCCAATCTTTCTGGTTGCTTTTGAGAATTCTGTTTATAGTCTAGTATTTCTTTGTAAGTAATCTGTCTTTTCTCTTCATTGCTATTAGGTTTTGTTCTTGTTCTGCTCTTTGTGGTTTATGTAGGTCTGTATTTATCATTACTCTTTTAAGATTTACTGTGGTTTTTAATTTGAGAACGTGTGACTTCAGTTAGTTCTGGAAACTTCTCAACTACTATCTATATCTTTGCATGTTGCAAGGCTTTTGTTTTATATAAACTATATTCTTCAACTGTACTTAATTTTGAGTCATTTTCATAGTTTTATCATCTAGTTCTCTTCATATTTCATCAGTTCTAAAACATACAGTTTTCTACAATTAATATCCCTGGAATTGGGATAGCATGGTAAAATTTAATAGGGGGAGTTTTTTCTTTTGCATCATAATTTAATTGGCAGCATTTTAATTTTTTGTCGGTATGTAAAATAACTTAAAAATCAATTTTTGAGTGAGTTGTAAAAAGCAAATCTTTGCTTGGTTGTGTTTAATATCACAACCATTCGGTTTGCATACTGTTGATTATATCTAAATTTCAGATATGGTTCGTATCAAATTTATCTTTGTGCACTGTAGCTTGCTCTTTTGTTAGAATTTCATTCCTTTTTATGTCTTCAAAACTTTAATGATTTTATTTATTTATTTTTAGAGAGAGAAGACAGGGAGTAAGAGAGGGAGAGAAACCTCAACGTGCGGTTGTCTCTCACACACCCCACGAGGTACCCGGCCCACAACCTAGGCATGTGACCCTTTGATTCACAGGCCGGCACCCAGTCCACTGAGCCACACCAACCAGGGCTGTCTTCAAAATTTTAAACATACTGTACTATTTTGTATAGTTTTTTTGGATTGTACTTTTGTCAGAAATTCTAATTCTCCTTTATATTGTTAGCTGTTTTTTATAGTAATTTGTTTTCTTGTGTCATTTCTAACATTAGATGGCTTATGGCCTGTTTTTATTTGAGAATTCTGTGTTGCCTAAGGAGACCCAGAATGGTTTTTCTGTCATCCGCATAGATCCTCTGGGGTCTGATTACTCAGGACTAATTTCTATGATAACTTCTGAATTTGGGTTTTCCTAGACTGAATGGCAGTGCAGACTTAGATTTCAAGTTTGTTAGAGACCCCTGCATGTCCCCAGGGCCTCATCCAGGAAGACAAGCCAAGTCTTTTTAACTCTCTGTAGTGGTGAGCAGAATTTTTTTCTTTTTCTTTTTCTTTTTTTTTCTTTTAAAAGAATTACCAATTTTTAGAGAGAGAGGTAGAGTGGGAGAGAGAAATTGAGAGAAGCATCGATACAAGAGAGAAATAGAGATCGGTTGCCTCTCATGAGGACCCTGTCAGGGGTGCTGAACCCACATGTGCCTCGATCAGGAATCGCACCCGTGACTTTTTGCTTTATGGGACAATGCCCATCCAACTGAGCCACAGCAGTCAGGGCCAGAATTCTTTTTTCTTGACTGTACTTCCTGCGACTGTACACCTTGGCTTTAGCATGGGTATTAACTCCAAAGCAGAACCTTGTGGTGCTACGCATGCGTATCTATTGTCTACACAGGCACACACACATAGACAATGGCATGATTTTTTTTTGAGATTGTATGACTCTTATTTCACTTCCCTTTTCCCTTGAACTCTGAAGTTTTTCTTTGCTTTCTTGCAGTATCACATTTTGTAATATTTTGTAACTTGTTTCAATTATTAGACTTTATATCTTTAGAACAGGTTTAAATTTACAGAAAAATTGAGCAGAATGTCTAGGGAGTTCCAATATACTACCCCCACAGTTTTTGCCCTACTATTAATACTCTGCATTAGTGAGATACTTTTTGCCATTAATGAATTAGTACTGATTCATTATTAATGACTAAAGTCTATAGTTTATATTAAGTATTGTTATTTGTGTTGTACTGTTCTGTGGGCTTTGACAAATGCATTATGTTATGTGTCTATCAACATAGTATCATCCAGAATAGTTTCACCACCCTAAAAATTCTGTGCTCCACCTATTCATTCTTCCTTCACTTCCTCCTAAACTCTTGTAGCCACTGATCTTTTTACTGTCTATAGTTTTCCCTTTTACAGAATGTTACATAGTTGAAATCATGCTGTCTTTCTGACCAGCCTCTTTCTCTTAGCAATATGCACTTAAGGTTCGTCCATATGTTTTCGTAGCTTGGTGGCTTATTTTATGGCTAAATAATATTCCATTATATGGTTGTACCACAATTTATCTATTCACCTGTTGAAGGACATCTTGGTTGCTTCCGTTTGGGGTGATTATGAGTAAAACTAATAACAACAACATGCAGGTTTTGTGTGGACGAAAGTTTTCAACTCAGTTGGATAAACCTAGCACAATTGCTGGATTTTGTGGTAAAACTATATTTAGCTTTGTAACAAACTGCCAAAGCTGTCTTCCAGTATGGCTATACCATTTTGCAGTTCCACCAGAAAAAAATAAGAGGTATTATTGCTCTGCATCCTCTTTAGGATTTTATTGGGTTTTATTGTCAGTTTTTTGGATTTTAGCTATCCTAATAAGTTCATAGTGGTGTCGTATTGTTATTTTAATTTGTAGTTCCATAATGATGTATGTTGAACACCTTTTCATACCCTTATTTGCCATCTGTATCTCCTTTGGTGAGATCAGGTCTTCTGAGGGGTGCTTTTTCTATTGTCGAATTATAAGAGTTTTTTGTATGTTTTGGTTACAAGTCCTTTATCAAACATGTGTTTTTGTTAAATAGTTTTCCCCTGTCTTGCCTTGCTTTTTCTCTAAACAATATCTTTCCCAGGGAAGCATTTTTAATTTTAATAGACTCTAACGTAACCAATTTGTCTTCGATGGATTGTGCTTTTGGTGTTATATGTAAAAACTCATCATCATACCCTAGGTCACCAATTTTTTTTCTATTTATAATTTTGTCTAAAACTCTATAGTTTTGTGTTTTACATTGGTCTCTGTGGTCCATTTTGAGTGAAGGTGTATGTCTAGAACTTTTTTGTTTGCATATGGGTGGATGTCCAGTTGTTCCAGCAGCATTCATTAGATATACATTACATTTCTACAAAAATACTTTATTCAACTTTTAAAATAGTGTTTACATATGTCTCTCTCCGTCTTTTTCAACATTCCGAGTCCTTATATTTAAGTATGTCTCTTGGAAGCAGCACACAAAGGTGGTTAAGTAGGCAGTTGAACTTAAACAATTTATCTTTAGAAATTAAGCAATTTTAAAATGATTAAATTTTTTTTTTGATGAGGTGGTTTGATACATAGTCCAACAATGGACAGATTTTACAAAATTAGAACTGTGTAAGAACATCCAGGTTATATGTTTGGCATTGCAAGACTATCATGTCATGGTAATGTGTTTTTTATTTTTTTTAAAGCTTGGACCTAGAACATTACAAAGTATTGGGTTCCACTTCAAGTTCTAGTTCTCATTGGCTGAAATGTGAAAGTTACTTAGAAATGCCAGAAATTTCAAGGGATATAAGTCAAAACATTTGAAATAGGGATTGTATTAGAAAATCTAGTGTTTATCTCTACCATCCTTTGATTCTTAGTATGTACCACTTTTGAGTTTTTTCATTGTAGGAGGAAAATGTTTCCATACTTCCTAAAAGCATTTCGTGTTTATTGTAGATAATTTTGAAGGCAAAATAACCCAAAACAGGACATTAAAGTTCCTAAGTCTATCACTGAGCAATAATCAAAATTAATTTGCTTTTTTTTACCGTGTGTAAATTATATACATGCATGCTGTCTTCTATGTTTTAAACCATTTTTTTGTTCTACAATTTTCCACTTAATAGTGTTTTGACATATTCTAGTGTCATTTTATTTATTACCAGGGAAAGTGTGAGGAAAATAATCTGACCCCATAATTAAGAGCACAAAGAATTCAGATAATCCGAAAAGTTAGGGCCAGAGCGCATGGATTTTCCTCCAAGGTGTTACTTGGTCCTTCTCTAACTTCTCAGTACCAGAATCTTTACTTCTATTACACATATTGGCATAAATGTATTTTTAGGAAAGAAATGAAGATTGTGAATTGAGGTTTTTTAAATGTGCCCAGTAATTTGCCAAAATTGTTATATCAGAATAATGTGTGAGAAAGCATAGTCAAACCCTTTTCCTTGTTAATTGTTCATGAAGTTGTCAGCTTTAGGTTAAATGATTTCAAATTATATAAAGTAAATAATTTATTAATTTTTAATATTAAAAACTCTTTTCTTCTAAGACTCCTTTCTACGAAACCGTTCAAGTTCTGACCATGAAGCTACAGCCATGATGAAAGCTCAGTTTATGAGTCTCTGGGATGGTTTGGACACTGATCACAGCTGCCAGGTATTGGAGAGAAATGAGCCTTGTACTCGTTCTGCGGTGGTGGTGGTGGTGGTGGTAATAGGAAATGGCTTTTTTTACATAAGTCTTCATAATTAAACTGATCTGAAAGAACATGGTTTATATACATTTTCATCTGTTTTGAGGGCTTCATGTTTAATAAAATGTGAAGAGACTGCCTCAGTGCCTTAAATGTAGCAGAAGAGAAAAACCCAGGATGACTCTCCTTGGAACTTTTAGGACCATTATACCAAAGAGGCAGTGACAGTGGCTCTGGGATGTTTGTTTTGACTCTGGCTATAAGTCCTTACAGTTTCTGTTCTCAGTTCCTAAGTTACTTGTTTTCACTTTACCATCTTCATTAATTACCTGAAACATACACACTTTCTCACTTCCTGTTATATGTGCCTTCCTTTAGATTTTTTTCTTTTTTAAATATTTTATTTATTTATCTTTAGAGGGAAAGGGAAGGAGAGAGGGAGAGAAACATCAATGTATGGTTGCCTTTCGTCCGTCCCCTGCTGGGAACTGGCCTGCAGGGAACTGGCCTGCAGGGAACTGGTCTGCAACCTAGGCACGTGCCCTGACTGGGAATCGAACCGCGATTGTCTGGTTCACAGGCCTGCGCTCAATCCACTGAGCTATACCAGCCAGGGCCTGGATTTCTGATTTTGTGTTAAGACAGTCTTCTGTCCTAGACTCTGCCTCTCTTTGCTTCAGAACTTGAAAACCGAAGTTATGGCACCCTGGTGTTCCGCCGCAGAGAAAGCCAGCTGTTGTTACCCGCTGTTTGGGTTCCCGTTTTCACTTAATTCTTCACCCATCAATATTTCATACTTTCTTGCCAGCTCAATGATTCATTTTAAAAGAAAATTAAAATAAAAAAGACTATCTGGCATGGTTGTTTTTTTTTTTTTTTGCCACATTGCCAAAAATGGAAGTTCTAGAACAGTTTTGTCTGTTTCTATTTATATCTTCTGGAAAAGTTTTGAAAAAGTTAACAATAGTGTTTTGTTTCTTTATTTTATTTTCTACTTTGTAATCTGTTTTTGCCATTTTATAAAAACTATATTTAGAATCACATTTGTATTACTTCTAAAATATTACTGCTTCGAATATTGTTTCTTTTCCATTCCCCGCATGTTCTCCCTATGGAGGGCCAGTTGGAGGCACCTTATTTATAATCCATGTGTTTTAACTTCTTTTTCCTGTTTTCTTTCCTTTGTTGTATTACAATCTAGGTAATTTCTTTACCTCTTCTAATTTGATCATTCTAAATTCATTTAGGTCTCTTTTGTTTAACCCTTTCATTGTGTATATTATTTCAGTCATTAACTTTTTTAGTTCTAAAAACCTCCTTAAATTTTTTTTCAAGATTGTAATTTTTTTTTTTTCCATGAGCTCCTGCCCATCAATTTACATTTCCTATTGGATTAGTAATCTAGAGAGCCCTGGCATCAACTAGCTGTGTGACTTTAGCCAAATCATATAATCCCTCTATCAATAGAAGGTGTTACTATCTGTAAAAAGGGGGAAATAATATTCACCTCAGGATTATTGTACACTTTTAAGGAATTAATAGAAGTAAGGTGCTTATAACAATGCTTTGTATATATTTACTATAAAAATATTTGAATGTGATTTTTTATTACTCCTTTATTCCTTTACACATGTTAAAGGAATAAAGTACTTTATAAAGTACTTTATAATCTGTATTCAGTAATTCTTTTTTAAATACTTTATTTATGTTTAGAGAGAAGGGAAGGGAGGGAGAAAGAAGGGGAGAGAAACATCAATGTGTGGTTGCCTCTTGTATACCGCCAACTGGGGACCCCAACCACAACCCAGGCATGTGCCCCAACTGGGAATCGAGCCAGCGATCTTCTGGTTCACAGTCTGGCACTCAGTCTACTGAGCCCAGGGCAATAGTCAATAATTCTAGTATGACTTTGTATGTATCTGTTTCTGTCATTTGTTTGAGTTTATGGTGGTTATGTCCTAGAGTGTTTTGTGATTTCATGGGGGAGAAAATCGTATTTGGTAGAACTTTGTGTGTGAATTTTTGGAACTATGTTGAAGATTGGTAGCTGTAAGAGGATTTTTGTATTTGTCTTTTGCTGTATATTTTTCCCCAACACAACTAGGTAAATTTAGGCCCAAGATCCATGTGAGCTGACCAAGAACCATGAAGTCTCTGGGATTTCATGTGGGTGTATGTCTTTATATATCTTTCTAATAATCAAGGCTTGACTCTGCCGAGTGAGTTTTCTAATGTTTTGCCGCTTTTCTCAGGCTGTTGTACTTCATGAGTACAACTTTATGGAGGGTGCCCTCTCATCAGGCCAGTGCACACCCTACTCTCTGAGGTTTACACATTTTCATAATGTGGTCAGCTTCTACCCTTGCTTCCCTCCTAAGGCTTCGTTACTGGCCTCAGCTTAATTCCTTTAGTTTTTTGAAGATTTGTTGATTAATTTATGAGTTTTTAAAATACTTTATTATTTTCCCTGGCTGGTATGGCTCAGTGTATTGAGCGCTGGCTTATGAACTGAAAGGTCACTGGTTCAATTCCCAGTCAGGGCACATGCCTGGGTTGCTAGCCAGGTCTCTTCCCCTTTGTCTCTAAATAAGTAAGTAAGTAAGTAAGTAAGTAAGTAAATAAATAAATAAATAAATAAAAATACTTTATTATTTACGTGTGTTTTGTGGACAGAGGGGTAAAGAATCTTCCATATCTACCATATTACCATAAATCAAAAGCAGTAAACATATTATTTTCAGGAGGAAAATTTAGCCACATGCCCTCCTTTTATATCACCTTTATGGAAGTACAATTTCATTAAGGGGAATTTGCTTTTAGTGTTTGTTGGATGATTAGAGAAGAAAGCATAACAAATTTATGCAACATTAATAGAAATTATTTATTAATAATTGGTTCTAGTAAGTCCCTTCATTGGGAGTAGTTTATAGGTTTCCTAAAATGATTATTCTCCTAAGCAACAGAATTTAAAGTACTTAGAAAATTGAATAGTTTAGGCCATGTAAGAGAGAATTATAGTATTAGTATTATATCCTATCCTATTTACAGTTTTATTTTTATTTTTTAGATCTTATGTATATTTAGAGAGAGGGAAAGGGAGGAAGAGGAGGGAGAGAAACATTAATGGATGAGAGAAGCATCAATCAGTTGCCTCTCGTATGACCCCAACCAGCGACCTGGCCTGCAGCCCAGTCACGCATGTTCCCTGACCTGGAATCAAACTGGTAACCCTTCCCTCTGTGGGATGACACTCAACCCATTAAGCCACACAAATCTGGGCAGATTATAGTTTTAAAAGCCAAGGGGAAACAACCTGAAACTGAATTTCAGAACGTAGTTCCTCATCACACTAATAGCACTGTTTTCATTATGGCAGGTTTTTATTGAAGAGAGGAAATAAAGATGTTACTTTTTCATGAAACTCCAGCAACAATTTTTATTACCCTTTTTGTGTTGAGGGGGTTAGAATTGACATTATTAATTTGAATAACAGTTTTAGACATATTCTTTTTTGATATGAACCAGTTAGTTTTTCTCTAAAATTGTCTGTTCTATTACTGTGGATGGAGTCTGGTACCCCAGAAAGCTTTCTTGTATGTCTGCTAAGGCCACAAAGGAAACAAAAATAGTTGAATGATTCAGTTAAACCTGTCACTGCTACTGGAAGTCTAAGTTAGTGAATAACATATTCTTCATCTTGACAGACATGAGACATAAAAGATAATAGCGTTTTAACTTAGTCATCAACATAAAGTTTTAAGGCATAAATTTAGATCCAAATATTTTAAATGTGAAATAATAAAATATTTATCCTGATATTTTATTGTAAAGATTTTTAGAAGTCTCAACTAATACCTAAAAGGTACATTAAATTTGTTGCATAAATACTGAAAAGTTACTGTTGCTTCCTATTTTGAATTTTAGCTCATTTACACTAGATAAAGATAATATATATGTAAAGGTAACTTTTTTTTTGCCCCTTCAAATCGCTCCTTAAAATTTGCTTCTTGCCCTGGCTGGTGTGGTTCAGTGAATTAAGCGCTGGCCTGCAAACTGAAAAGTGGCTGTTTTGATTCCCAGTCAGGGCACGTGCTTGGGTTGTGGGCCAGGTCCCCATTTGGGGGCGTGCGAAAGGAAACTGATTGATATATCTCTCTCACATTGATGTTTCTCTCCCTCTCTGCCTCCCTTCCCTTCTCTCTAAAAGTAAATAAAATCTTTTAAAAAATTGCTTCAAGTGAAACTGCAAGTAGTTTCACTCTTGATTTTTCATAATGAATATCTGTTATTATCTTCTGTGTATTCATTAGGCCATGTTATGCTAAATTTATTTGGATTTCTTGGTCTTAATTTTAAGCATTCCATCTTCCATCCTGAGGTTTTTTTGTTTTGTTTTAGGCTGTTTGTTTACTTAGAATGTTTCTCAAAATATAGCCTGGTTCCAGTTTATGTCAGGTACTGCCTCATATACAGTGCCTTTTGTGAGTCTCTACTACCTAACATGGTCAGTCTTCAATGTGCCACCCTATCACTTTGAGTATCTCTTCTCTTACACTCCACCTCAAACTGTACTTCATTTATCCTTTATCTCACTCAGTTCATTTGATCACTTTAAGACTTTTTTGGTTTACATTTTGTAGATAGTTTCCTTACTAATTTTATGGAGTTGCAGATAGTCAATAAAGAAAACAAGTAAGAGCATTAATATTTTGATTTTTTTAGGAACACTTAACCCGAACACAAAATTGCGTTGTAGAACTAAAATTTCTCAAATATGTATTTGTAATTATATTTTTCCCCCCTAGGTGGCAGCCTCTTACAGTTAATTGAAAGTATATGGCTCTTTAATATTATTAAGTGTAGAAGAAGAATATAAGATTTAATAGATCTTTCAACATGTTCTGGAGTTAGGCTTCTGATTATTGCAGAAATCTAAGACCTCTTAGGCTAAAATAAAACAATATGAAAGAAATTAAACTTTCTATTAGAATACCAGTAAGTTTCATTTTGGATAGCTAATGTGTGCTATTACTGGGTTATATAGAAATATCAACAGTAATGATAATATTGAAGCCCTTTAGAAATAAACTTGTTTTATATATCTTTATCTTTGTTTGTATTGATTTTTTATCTCTACATCCTTTATAAATAAGTGACATTGACCCAGAGATTGGCAGGGTCACCAGCATTTTTTTAAAATTCTGCCCAGAATTTTGATTATTACTTTTATTCTGTTGCCCTTGTTTGAAGTTGGATTGCTTGAGGTTTTATTAGCATTGAGAAGATCCCATCTGTAGTGATGATGTATACTGTGAGATGATGATGTGAAATGTAGAGGAAAAAGTACATACCTGTTACTATTACCAGACTTAGGGGAAATGATTCTCTCTTTAATATTATTGTCAAGGGACTTGAAATATTCCCGTGTATTCCTAAGCCATAACGTAAGTGGCTTTCAGTTATTCAGTGTATAGCCATTGAGTAATCATATTTTGCAAACTACAATAGTTTAAAAAAGAAAAATCTTACAAGCTTTGCTATCCTCTGACCTATTTAGGATTAACTTTGATTTGTATCTTAAGTATTTGAGTAATACATATTGGATTAATACCAGATTTCTTATAGAAGATTAAACGCCACTTAATTTTCTATATTTTCTAAGCCCTGTTAATAACAACTTAAAAGAAATATTATTGTTGGACTTAACATCGTTTTCTTTATCTATTTAGGTCATAGTGATGGGAGCCACTAATCGTCCTCAGGATCTGGACTCAGCTATCATGAGAAGAATGCCTACAAGATTTCATATCAACCAGCCTGTAGGTGGTTTTGATGCATGTTATGAACAGTGAAATACTTACTTATTTAAGGTCTTTACCTGTGATTTCAAGAAGGGAATAATTTTTTTTTAATAGTTCTTATTTATGATGGGCGGGGAAGGAATAGGGCAAGAATCCACACAATTGCTTCTTTGTTCTTTCTTGCTTTTTCTTATTTCTTTTTTTTCCCCTAAGCTCAGTATCATTTGCTTCTCCTCAGAGTATACAATTGTGTTAAGATTGCCCAGATCACTTCAGTGGCTTTCTTTTGACATAGAAAGTTAGCAGGTTATCTATGGAAGATACATACAAAAGTCTATAGTTTTGGTTTAGCATAGGATGAAATTAGGGGCTTTGGGGGCTGACAGGATAAACGGTTGGGATCTGTTTGATTAATTATTGACAGTTACAGTCAGTGCTTTTCCTTTGACAGAATTAATGATTAGCCAGTAGCTAAGATACTACACTTAAACTTACTGGGAATGTGAGGGTGATGCTGAACTAATACTGTCTTCTTTCAAGCATTCCTTTCTTAGTTAAGAACTACCCTCAAGTAGATGCTTATAATTTATTAATACTCTGATTTTTGCACAGAATGCTCAGAACTTGAATTTTCTCTGCCTTTAGATAGAAGAAAGAAAGAAAACATGGTTAGTAATGGAAGAGATGCACTATACAATCAGTGTTACATGTATAGCTATGTAGACAGACTTCTAGGATTGTTCCTCTCAAATTTTGAATTAAATATCTTCAAATCTTGAAGTAAAAATATTATAATTCATTTACAACCTCTGGGTAAAAATTCTTTGTCCTACTTTATATTCTGCAGCTTATCAGATCAGTTCATGGAAGCAAACCTGTTCCCTAAAAATCGATGGTTGCAGCCTCTATAAAATGCTCCGGTCCACTATTTGCTATAGCTACAACCTCTGGTTCCTCTGAGAGTACGCACATGCTTAACCCCACTGTATTAGAAAATTTACCTGGAAAATCAGTGAGGAGAAAATTTTTTAACTTGATGTAGGAGACTATACAATTTATTTTTTATGACTAACACGTATTGAGCATTCATATTAATCAGTCACCAGTGAGGTTCTGGTGACTGGGAGATGGGCCTGTCCTCAAAAAACTGTGTTGCAGTGTAGTCATACATGTAAATAAGAAACGTAAAATATATTTTACAAAGGTATGTTTAAAGAACTGTGAGAACCTGAGATGATGAGAACTAATAGTTCTGTCTGAGGAGTTTATCACATTTACACAGTCCAGCTGGGTTTTGAAGGATGGTAGGAAATTAATAGGAAGTGAGGCAAGGAAGAGCTTTTCTGCCAAAATGAGCAAAGGCAAGGTGTGGAAGCTCATGTTTAGCTGTGATTCTGGGGTAGTTCTGTTAGGGCATCAAGGAAAACAGATGATGGGACTGAACACGTAGACTTCTGCCAGATTTAGATGAACTTGTTATGCTTCACGCAAAAATTTTGATTTTATTTTGTTAATTAGACATCAAAACATTTTCACGGAAAATTAGTTTACCTCAGTTGTTTAAAGACGAAGAGTACATTGATAGACTCTGCCTGTAGTCCAGTAGAAAAGAAAGTAGAATACAAGTAGTGTAGAACACAGGACACACAGCCTGGAAAGTACACTTTACTAAAGTTTCAGGTTTAGTATTACGAGTTATCAAAATGAGTTGTAAAAGATTTAACAAATTTGTTATGTATCAGTACTGTTGATGTAGAAATGGGGATTTTGTAACCCTCTTTTCATTTTGTTTTTAGAGAAGATGGTATTTTTTTTAATTGCAAAACTATACAGTGTCAAACTGTATGATTAACCTTACCTTAAAACTCCTCTCCAAGTTAAATGTTAATTTTTAAATAAGTAGTTTTGGGTGATCACCTAATATACCAAATTCACCTTCATACTTACACAGTTAAGTTACAGAAACAGTGGAGTTTGATTTTGTTTTTCAGGTCATTTGATTTGATATTCATTATAATTGGCTTTGTTTTTTCAGTGGTTGTGGGAATAGGGATGACTTCAGCCATAATGATTCTTAAAAGCATTTATACTTACTGTATGTAACATGTTCAGTTACAGCTTTTATTCTCTGGCATAATATGAAGCATCATTGGGGAGCACATATAGGCAGGCATATGAACAAATGTACATCAACCCTAAATAACTCACTCATGTAAATTAGTGAACATGGAAGTTATATGTTAAAGTGGAGGAGCTGAAGGGGCACTGTTGCCATCTCTCCAATTACTGGTAAAAATTTTATGGCACTGATGTTCTCAAGTTTTCTTAAGTGAAGGAACTGGGTTTGCAGAGCAGTAGAGGAATGTCGTTGGTGGTCATGGGTGTTCGTCTACTCACTAAAAAAACACCGAAGGGCATGTTAGCTCCCAGACATTGTTCTAGGTGTTGGGGAGTCAGAATAAGAAGATACAGTTGAATAGGACAACCACACATAATTATGGTAGTCACTAGTGTCCATAACCTCTGTCAAGAGTTTCTGTCAGGTAGTTCGCAGGGAAGGAAAGAAACATAAGGAAACCTAGTTGATCCTTATTTATTTATTTATTTATTTATTTATTTATTTAAAACTAACTGGAAATTATTTTGGTTTTAGGCTCTAAAACAAAGAGAAGCAATCCTAAAACTCATCTTGAAAAATGAAAATGTGAGTAGAAAATTACGTTTTTTCCCCATCCTATAAATATCAAGTTTATGTCCATTAAATCATTTTAGAAAGAAATGAACAAGAAAGTTGAGAATAATGGAACTTTAAACTTAAATCATGAAAATCTTGGCTGGCCATGTAACTTAATAACTATGGTATACTTGAACTAATTAAAGATAATCTCTTTACAAAGCCATCTGTTTTCATATCTACAGATTAAAATTCTCCTTGACATTTTTCAGACTGTTTTCCTATCATATAAGATGTTTATTTTTGTACAGAAATATGAGGGTTTTGTTTTTTATTTAATTACAGTATTTTTGAAGTTGGAATTTAGATTTTAAAAGACGGTAATCAAAATCTTCAGTAGTTTGTGTTTTAGGTTTTTAATCAGATTTAAAACCTTGTTCTCACTTGGAAATTAAAGATGATGCCAACAATAAGATACAATAATTTCCAGAATGTAAATTAAATGCTATTTGTAAAATGCTTATAGGACCATGTAAGTGTGCAGCCAGTGGTAGGTAATATAAATAACTGCACATGAGTGCAGTTCTTTCAAGCTACTTTAGAAGTTTGTTAGCTTATTCCAGCATTGCTCCCAGTATTCAAAACCTTTTTTAATTTTGGAATTGCCTTCATAGTTGCCTATAGAAAACAATTCTCATTACTTTGTGGTTTATCTAATAGCTGTTATCTTTTAAAATAAAAAAAAAGCCCTCACCCAAGGATATGCTTATTGATTTGAGAGAGAGAGAGTGACACATCAGTTTGAGAGAGAAACATTGATCATTTGCTTCCCATGTGCCTTCGACTGGGAGCAGAACCCCCAACCTACCTGTGTGCCCTGATCAGGTATTGAACCTGCAACTTCTTGGTGCACAGGATGATGCTCCAACCATCTGAGCAGCTGGCCAGGGCTAATAGCTGTTACGTGAAGGGATTCTCTTAGAGTCTTTGCCTTGTGCCAAGCATTGTGGCGAGATAGTGACCCTTGAGCAGCACTAGATTGAACAGTGTGTGTCCACTTATGTGCGGAATTTAAAAAAATAATTACATATAATGCTATAAATGTATTTTGTCTTCCTTATGATTTTCTTAATAACATTTTCTTTTCTCTGGCTGGCTTTATTATTCTTATGTATGTAATACAGATAACATACAAAATATATGTCACTGAACTGTTCATGTTATTGGTAAGGCTTCTGGTCAACAGTAGGCTATTAGTAGTGAAGTTTGTGGGGAGTCAGAAGTTACGTGTGGATTTTTGACTACATGGAGACTGTTGCCCCTTAAGCCCCCATGTTGTTCAGGGGTCAACTGTACGTTGTTTTATTTAATGCTCAATTCATAGAAGGAGTCCATACTAGTACTATTTTACAGTTGAGGAAAGTGAAACCCAAATAAGTTACATTAGAATATGAGTTGCTCAGGCTCACAAAGCAAAGCAGTGATGGAGCCTTTCTTGTAATCATTACAGTATGCTACCTGCTAGTTAATCTTGCTTCCCCAGTGACTGGAGTCTTCTCCTTTTTGTTCTTTTTTCATCCTTGTTTTGTTCATCTTTGTAACTTTATCACTGTCGTGCAAGACATTTACGAATGGTTAGAACATAGTGTGGCCCCAGAAGAGGCTTCACAGCACAGGGTGGAAGTAGTGATTGCTGTAGGGAGGAATGCTCATTTGTAACATCTCAGGGCATAATTTGGAAGGTCTTTCTAAGTAGCTTTTTAAATTTATGAAAGATTTGAAACATATACACAAATAACCTTATATCTAAACCCAGATTTAACCGGTAATCTTAACATATTTTGCTTTGCATCCCCCGAATCACCACCATTGGTGGTCCACTACCTTGAAGTTGGTGGTGTGCATTAGTTCCAGTGAGGGGTGTGGGTAGTTACATTAATTCAGGTGCGGACTGTGTTTACTTGTTCATTATTACAAACAGTAGGGAAATTAGATCACTGTATGTGTCTGATTTCAAATGTATGCTTGTAAGAATTCCTCAGATACAAAAAAGTATAAATTATAATTGAAAGAGAAAGAAAAATGTGCAAGGACAGGGTACTGGGAAAACATTTGCAACATTATAACTAACAAAGGACAATATCAAAATTATACAAAATTACTGTAAGCAGTTTGTCAAGTTTTATTTGTACATTATTGGATTATAGGTGCTAACTATAACCATCCCTAGGAACTTAGTGTCTACTGTCAGTATATGAAACAAGAGTTTAAAATCTCCCAATGCTTTTGTGGACTTGTTCATTTCTCTATGGAATTATGTTAATTTTGCCGTGTGTGTTTTGAAACCATGTTATTAGATGTTTACCAGTGCAGAATTGTTATATTTTGCTGATGAATTATTTTCTATCATTACGTAATGATTTCCAAATTATGCACTTTGAGTAAAAAACAAAATCTGTTGAGCTGATGGACACAGAACTACATTAGCTTTCTTTTTGTTAATACTTGCCTTGCATATCATTTTCGATTTTCTACTTTCAATTTTGGCCTTTTTCCTTTCAAATGTAACACTAAGCCTATTCTTTTTTTGTGTTTTTTTTTAAGATTTTATTTAGTTATCTTTAGAGGGGAAGGGAAGGAGAGAGGGAGAGAAATACCAATGTATGGTTGCCTCTCATGGGTCCGCTGCTGGGAAATGGCCTGCAACCCAGGCATGTGCCCTGACTGGGAATCGAACGTTGAGCCTTTGGTTTGCAGGCCTGTGCTCAATCCACTGAGCTGCACCAGCCAGGGCTAAGTCTGTTCTTTTACCTTTTGACAGGATGTGGCTGTTACAAACCTCAAAGAACTGCATTTTGTTTTTTATACAGTATGATCTTGTCTTTCAACAGCCTGGTTTACTCTGTTTGCATTTGCGATTGCTCATCAATTTAGATTCATTCCTTCTTATTTTAGTGCTTTCCATGTAGTATGCTTCGTTTTGCTTTCTCTCCACATAATGCACCCCTACCCTGTGTTCTTTAGTGTTGCTTTTATGTTCTTTATTCCTCCACTGGTTTGGAAGTTACACATTCTCTTTGATTGGTACCCTTGAAACTTAGTGGTACCCTTGAATTGTTTTGACATATATACTTAAAGTCCAGGCTGATAATAGAGCTGCCCTCTTTCCAATAATCTTACGACTTCAGAATGCCTTGATGTACATGTCCCCTGTTCATTACATTTTCTTACTGTCTAGCATTTTAGTTCTACATGGTTTCTCTACCCCAAATTATTCTTTTCTTTTTTTTTTAAGACTTTAATTTATTTATCTTTAGAGGGGAAGGGAAGGAGAAAGGAGGAGAAACATCAATGTATGGTTGCCTTTCATGCGTCCCCTGCTGGGAACTGGCCTGCAGGGAACCGGCCTGCAGGGAACTGGCCTGCAACCCAGGCATGTGCCCTGACTGGGAATCGAACCGCAATTGTCTGGTTCGCAGGTCCGTGCTCAATCCACTGAGCTATACCAGCCAGGGCCCAAATTATTCTTAATACTGTTTATATAGTATAGCTTATTTAGATTTATCTGTATGTTTACTGTTTTCTTTGCTTGTCACTACCGTTTGCCTCTCACACCTCCCTTCTGAGATCACTTTTCTTTTTTATCGAAGGCTGTGATTTCTCTTTATTGAATCCCCAACTTTAGGAATCAGAATATTGTCATGTGGGGTCACAGTTGCAGAGTTGACAATAGAGCCGGTGCCCTCTCACCTCCAAGTCCCTATCCTTGTGTAAAGTTGCTCTTCTTTCTGAGACAGTGGGCCTTCCACAAAAACAAATGGGAATTTAGTAACTAATAAAGGTGCCATTTCAAACCAGTGGGGGAAAGTAAACGTTAGGGCAAATGGTTAGTTATATGGGGGAATGGAGCTGGGCCTCTAATACATTGTGTTCAAATCCTAGATCTGGCAATGGTGTGACCTTGGATAATTTATTTAACCTTTTCAGGTCTCGCTGTTTTCTGAAAATGAAAATGAGAATACTTAACTGACAGGATTAAATGAGAATAATACATACAAAGTGAATAACACAATAATTTAATAGATGGTAATTATTACAAGTACTTTCTTTTCTTGCCTTTTTTCTCTTCATCTACATATAAGTTTGGTATGATTATATTATCCCAAGTCTGTTATGTTCCTAGTGCAGTCACTTAATTGCCTTGACTATTTATATAAAGCTTAGGTTAGAGAGTAAGACTGTAAGTGCTGAATTAATATTGAGGTAGTAGAATACCAAAGCATTACAGTTAAAATGGATGTTAGAGTATTTCAATGGAATATGTTTTTTGTAATGAGTTTAGGACTTAAATGATGCAGGCCATTTGCCAGGTGTGTTGCATATATTACAGAAAAGTGTTAACATGGGTTCTTCCTATAGTTACTGAAATGAATCCAGCATTGTTTGAATATTTCTTCACTATCACTCCATGATATATATTTACTGAGATTACTTCACTCTTTGGTCATAATAACAATTAATAAAAATGAGATTTCAAATTTTAAGCTTTTATGGTTAAAAAAACTTCTAGAAACTGAAAATACTCTTTAATGACTGTTCTTCCATGCTATTCCAATGTGCTTACCATTCTTTTGTTCTGAGAAGAGTGTTTGGATATATCCTTTGCGGTGTATTTTATGTTTATTTTTTAAGTGTGTTTTTTTACATGTTTGTTTAAGGTGGATAGGCATGTGGACCTGCTAGAAGTTGCCCAGGAAACTGACGGGTTTTCAGGAAGCGACCTAAAAGAGATGTGTCGAGATGCTGCCCTCCTCTGTGTCAGGGAGTATGTCAATTCTACATCAGAAGAAAGGTGTGTGTATATAGAGTCGATCTCTATATTTATCAAATCCTTTTAGAGCTTTTAGGTTAGTTTCTTTTATTTTTCTTTACAATACCAACTCTGCTTATGGAATAAAAGGTAAGTTTGAACTAACAATCTCCCCAACTTTATTGTTCTTTTTAATTACTTATTTATTTATTTAAAGATTTTATTTATTTATCTTTAGAGGGGAAGGGAAGGAGAGAGGGAGAGAAACGTCAATGTATGGTTGCCTAATGTATTTACTAAACTAAGAAACCATTTGTCAATGCAGCAAATTTCACTTGAAACCAGTTTCAAAGTATGATGAGCTTGAGAAACCAATTTTGTACCAGCCTTATTCCAGCAAAGATACTACTGAACTGGAATAACTCAGCCCTGATGAACCATGTCGTGTAAGGAAGTTTTCCAAAAGGCTGCTTATCCTGAGCCAGTGTAACATTGCAGTTCTAAACCCCTGTTCAAAGCACCAACCTTCTTAATGAAGAATTTCTATGACTCTGGCAAGCTAGTGTACTTTGGGAGCATGTGTTGAATGAGTTCTCCATCTCTTGCCCTTTTGTTTCTTATTCTCCCTTCTTCATCCTCCTGAGGCTTTCACTCCAAGTGACTTGGATTTACCTGTTACATTCTTGTGTTTAATTACAGTATATTGCCATAGAAAAAATGCTTCTCTTGGTATAGAAAGGTTTGCATGAAAACTACCCTTTTAACCGCAGCAAGTTATGCACTAGTTCCAGACCTTTCTTTAGTGTTCCCTTGAGCCCTGTCATAACAGAGGGCAACTTCATTTGTTTATTTATTGCCAGATTGATCCAACTACTCTGGAGCTAAAGTTAGGAATACTTTTGACCTTTGTAGCCAGCCCATCTGCTGAAGGTCTTTATTCTTGTATATAAGATTAATAGAACAGCAGAACAACTTCTGTATAATTATTTATGCTTAAATAAAGTTATGTTAATAATGAGAGTTCTGTTTTTCTGCTGTCATCAAAACCCCGAAAATTTTAGAGTCCAGCACAAATAATGCCCCTTTTTTATTACAAAATCTTTCATTACAAAATCATAAGTATGTAATTCTGTAACATAACAGTATCACACTTGAGCACACCATGACATTCTAGGTGGAATGTTCAGATTAGAACGATAACTTATTACACCCATGTTATTACTGTACCAACCACACTCAAGCAGGCCTTACTTCTGGGCCCTTTATTTCTTTGTGAAAAATCTAGCCAATAGATTTGGATTATCATAACTATTTCCCCAAATGTTTTTTCCTTAGTATCTATAAATTACAAAGGAGACATTATATACTGTGTTTTGTTTTTCTCAGTATTATTATTGAATGGGGGGAGGACTTAGATTAGTTGGTTTTTATTAATAGTAAAGAATTTTCAGTTCATCAAAAGCTAAACATATAAATATACAAGTAGGAAAGCTACTCTTTAATTCCAGTTTTCATGGGAATAACCTTTGACTCCTTGATTGGAGTTAATAGCTCCACTTGGGCAGGCTGACACACCTTTATGTAACATTTTCACCACATGCTTCTGCACTGCCCTTGAGGTCTTAGTGGGAAGTGGGCGGTTTTCCTTACCACAGCTGTCGTGTTTACGGCAGCCACCACAGCTTCCTGCCTTTTCGCGGTCCATGCTTTTTAAAAACCTAAGACTTAGAAATGAAGATCTCAAGGAGGGTTAGCAACAGGGGAGTGGGAGGAAGAGAAGGGGGGAGAAGGTACAGAAAATAAGTAGCGTAGACAGTAGATAGAAAATTGACGGGGGGGGCAAGAATAGTGTGGGAAATATAGAATCTAAAGAACTTGAGACACATGGTCATAAACTAAAGGGGGGTAATGGTGGGGATGGGGGGTAGGATGGGGAAATGAAGGGGGGAATAGAACAACTGTAATGGCATAATCAATAAAAAAAATAAATTAAAAAAAAGAAAAACCTAAGACTTGTGTGTGCATAGGTAACTCCTGACAGAGTCCACATGAAGCTTTTAATTGTGGCGGTCTTTGGGGTCTGAAATGGGAAAGAGATGTTAGTTTTTAATCATGGTAAGATATTTTAGGGAGGTGTGTTCTAAAGTTACTTGAACGTTTGGTGGTTTTGTTTGCATTTTAGCCACGACGAAGATGAAATTCGGCCTGTGCAACAGCAGGACCTGCATCGGGCAATTGAAAAGATGAAGAAATCAAAGGATGCGGCATTTCAGAATGTTTTAACACATGTTTGTTTAGATTAAGAGTAAAGGTCATTTGTACAGGTCAGCGGTCGGTGTGCCCTGTTAATCATTAGTGGAAACAGAATGAAAGCGGGAGTATTCTTTGAACAGCGAGGGAGTGGAATAACACTGGTTTTATACTCTGAATTCTAAGTTATTGAGACATAGCTGTTATATAAATGGTATTACCACTTGTCAGAAATCATGAGGAGGAACAATTTAATCCAGCCTGAGTGTAGGTGCTTGTGTTTGACCTTTTTAGCCATACATTGCAGCCTTATAGCATCTAAGCTGGTCGTAAGTAACAGTTCATATTATTGAGTCATTAGTGAGAGATGGGGATGTGGTTAAGTGCTGCTTTCTAGATACATGAGAGAGAGAGAGAGAGAGAGAGAGAGTGTGTGTGTGTGTGTGTGTGTGTGTATTAAATGTATATATTCACACATTTTATATTGACATTCTGTAGATATGTTTGAATATGGAAACTTTTTTTTACCCCAACTACTGAATCAAAAAGTACCAAATACTACATAGCAAAAATAAGATCGAATGTTGTATCTAAAAGGTACAGTGATTCAGCCATTTTCAGTTGTCACTTGTTTCAGCTTTTTTTTTTTAATTAAGTGTTTCCCTGCTGTTGAATAGTCGGAGTCTGCCACATCCGAATATTTAGGTGTGTGTCCGTTGTTTTGGTTGTCAGGATAATAATATGGGATGGTTTTCAGGCAGTTGCATGAGCAACACTGATTTCACCTGTCCGCGAGCACGCTGAGTAGAGACATTTTTAAATTGATAGACATAAAGGTGATTAAAAGTCATTCAGAAGAATGGCTTTGAAATTCCTCAGTGCCATACAGTACATGTAAGTGACTTTTCCTTTATTCATGTAATGTAACATAGTTCTGTTGTAACCATGATTTTTTTTAATGTTATTTTAAAGTTATATGTTCTTTATTTATGGTCAAATATAATTTGGTCATCAAAAATAAAATGGTAATTTAAAACAAGTAGCTTTTATTAAATGTGCTAAAAATACTCATTTTGTAATTGAAATTTTAAGTTTTCTTAGCCTATTATAAATTGTGCCCAGTCAGTGCAATCACACACAGAAAAAGGCCCCATATCGTGCCTGTAGTCACCGATGCTGTGCGCATCAGAACTCCGCCACAGCCTCTTCAACACACAGCCTGAGGAACACAGCACGCTGTGGTATTCAGGCACGTTCTGAATCATCAGAAAGATTAAACGATGCTTTATATGTTTTTGTTTTTATTGTATTTCTTTGAAAACTCTCAATCTCTATTTGTGAGTTATTGGATTAATGTCATTGGTAGTAAGTCTCTCACTAGAACCCTATTGAATGGTTTGCTGCTCTTCAGTTGTGCTTTGAGTGGCGGGTGGGGTAGAAGTCGTGGGAGAACACTCTGGATAACAAAAATCAAGTTTTGAAAAAATTGGAAAGATGATTGATAAATTGAGTGCAAAACACAAGGTACCAAAAAATATAGTCTCCACTTTAAAAATTATACTATTATTTTATAAATGTGTAATAAAGAGGTCCCTGTTAATTGATTTTTCTCTACGTAGGCCTTGTCTTTGTCAGTTATATAAAGTGTTCTGGCGTGGTTTTGGTTTATGGAACCTGCTATCGTGCTGTGTAGCTTTCACACTTTATAACACACATATTAGTGTTTAATCATTATTTTTGTTTTAGTATGAATTTCAGTAAGTACTAGTTTTAATCTGATGACATACTAATCAAAAATAAGAGGTGGCGTATTCCTTCCCATATCCCTTCTCTTTAGTTTCTCTTAAATTCAGAATATTCGATAGTAGTAGTTATTAAATTTATCATGGTTTTAATCATCAAATGAAGTTAGAGAACTACACTACTAATCCCAGCAATTATGGTTCATTTAGGTAACTTAATGCCTTAAAGTAATTGAGGAAACATTATTATTATTATTATTTTGCTAACAGTTTCTGGGTGAGAACGTGCATCTTCCCTAGGTGATCAACGTGGGGAAAGACCTTCTTATTTATGTATTTAGTTTTACTCAAATATTTTTGGGTGCATTATTACATGAGTTTCAGATGTACAACATAGTCATTCAGTATTTATGTACCTTACGGTTAATCACCACGATAAATCTAGTAACCATCTTTCACTGTACAAGTTACTACCGCAGGCTGTCTTCCCTCCAGTCGTACATCACGTCCTTGTTAACTCAGTTATTGTATAACTGGAAGTTTGTGCTCGTATTCCCTTCCATCTCCCTCCCCACCCCACAATCATCACTTTGTTTTCTATCTGTATGAATCTGCTTCCGTTTTGCTTTTTAGATTCTGCATATAAGTGAAATAGTAGAGTTTTTACCTTGCCTTATTTCAGTTTAGCCTCGTAGCCCATCCATGTTGTCATAAACGGCAAGATTTCATTCTTTTTCCATTCTTTTTTTATGGCTGAGTAACGTTCCACGTTGTGTGTGTGTGTGTGTGTGTGTGCGCGCGCGCGTGCGCGCATGCATGCTTGCGTTCACCACATGTTTACCCCACCCATCAGTCAGTGGATACTTAGGTCGCTTCTATATCTTGGCCACTGTGACTAATGCTGCAGTGAATACAGATAGGGATGCAAATATCTTTTCAAATTAGTGTTTTGGTTTTCCTTAGCTAGCTAGAAGTGGGATTGAGGAAACTTTAATGGATACTTTTAAAGAATATTTAGTGTTATATGACCCATCACTCTGATGTAGGGTATGCACGTGGCATATGTGGTTGGAATCTAGGTTCTCTCCTTTCGGGTATCGGGAGGAAAGCCAGATCTGGAGTTGGACTAAGTTTAAATCCAGGCTCCCCATTAACTGTTCTTAGACCGGTTATCTAACTTTGAGCCTCAGCTTCTCATTATAAACCTGTAGTGACAGTGGCACCATCCTACCGGGCTGTGTAGTGAAATGAGGCATAGAAAGCACCGATCACAGGGCCTGGCACAGTTACACTGCCCAGATGTTAGCTATCACATCATTACTTTTCCATACTGACGTCCATATCTGGTGACCAGGCTCACATGTTGAGTGTGCTCCACGCTCAAGTCAGTTCTGGGACCCTGAAGCCTACACTAAGGACTGAAATGGAACACCCGGGTAATGTCCTCTAAAAGCCTCATTGTTGAAAGACTTCTGATGCGTCTCAAAGTTTGCCAGACCTTTTTATAAAACAGTTTAGTACCTCAGTATTTGAATCAATTCAGTGTCTCCTTTATGATTTCTTTCTATCTCATTCAACCCCCTTCCTGCTCCCCATCCCCCCCACACATACACGTGCAGAGCGACCCAGCATTCATCATGTTTTCAAGAGCTAATTTGAGATCATCTGAATACTCTATATAGACTATAATAGCCTAACTTTAGCAGCTATAAGTACTCCTAGGTTTGGTGTTAGGTGAGTCTGTCTCAAGCCTTAAGTGTACCTGTAAGTATGGCAGCATCCCTCATTGGTAAGGGTTTTTTTTGTTTTGTTTTGTTTCATTGCATTTGTGTCGTTTGTTGACAAATGTTAACTTCCTTTGGCATAAAGAAAATAAATTGGATAATGTATATTTAAGAATTCTTTTTTTAGTTTCTCTTAAAGTCAGTATCAGAATATTGAATATTCTCATACACTGAGCATATATCCTGCATGACTAAAACCTTTAGCACCATCTAGGAGCCTCAAATAAAGCTATTGAATCATTCCATTCAGAGCTGACAGAAATACTTAGAGTGCCGCCATTATTAAATTTGTTGATTTAGCCATCAAACGTAGAGTTTCCTTAATGTCTCAAAAGTTAAAGCTCTCCTTACATGTACAGGTGAAAATTCTAAAACATGTTCATGCAGTTGTATTGAGAAGATACATAGTGTATATGCCAGATGCAAATGAGATCCAGCATAAACCATTTAGCAATGAGAGTGAAACCAAAATACTCTTGGTAGCACTGGTGTAAAATTTAAACTATTTTAACAGCTCATAAAGTGCTCATTATTCAGATGCTGAACAGGGAGTATATTTTTGTAATCGTCTAATATTTATAGTTCTAAATCTGTTTGAGAACACTTTTAGATATAAGCTTTGTGCTTTGAAATATGAGTTTTCCTCTAGCTTCCTGAAATTCTAAGAATAACCAAGGTACTTAAATAGAGGATGATACTATGTCACCCAGTATAATAGAGTCCTTTACAGACATGTCTGAGGGAGGTGAGCATTATCTACTGGGCTATAGTGTTACAAAGAGCATCAGGGAGGTTCTGTTGCTAGCAGGTACCTCCAGCTGACCTAAGCAATAGGGAATTTCTTTGAAGGATATTGGAGCTTATAAGATCAAAGGGAAGCTAAAGAACTGGGTTTAGGCTAGAAACTCCAAAAGTTCCAGAAAGGTTTTTGGTTTTGTTTTTAAATCAGGAATTGTGTAAGAATCTTGCTTTTATTCCTGCACTGGATTAAGTGAACTCCCAACTGCTTATCTTTAAATTATCCATTCAAGATTGAAAATCTGGGAGGTGAGTGTATAAACACCAGTCCGAAATCACCCCCGGCAGTTCTGGAGCTTTGGGAGAACGACCCTTGTGAGCTCCTTTTGCTTAAAGGGTTTGAGAACAAGTATCTGGATTTAGTGACTCATCAAGACTAAATGCAAAACAGGAGTCTTTTTATCCAGAGGAAACTTGAATATTGTGAGGAAGATGGCTACACACAAAAAATGACAAATGACCAGCTGGTCACATGGAGCCATAAGCATATGCTAAATGAAGGACAGTATTGTAACTCAAGTACCCATGCTGGAAGAATGAGCAATGCACACAGTTTGTGTGGACAACTTCAGGGACAGTTGGACCCCATCCCACAAGCTCTTAATGATGGAGTGCTTGCTATTTGGTGTGCCCAACTCTTTAGCTAGGTGATCAGTTTTTAACTTGTAATATATATGTTTCCAGGTAGTGGGTATCAAAAAGAACAGTAGAGACTGAAGCATAACACTGGTTTTTGTTTTATTTCCAGGCAATGTAACTCCTTTCCTCTGATAAGCAGTTGGAGTGAAGAGCTGGCCGTTCCCTTTCCTTTTACTCTGTTTAGGCTGGCTCTGGGCTGTAGCTTTAATGAGGTTGAGTTGACTGGGCTTATCCAGCCCTTATCCTCCCATGCAGCTGCCTTTTGATCTTCACAGTGTGAGCTGGGAGAAATTGGGTTGCAGGTTTGTGTGCTTTGTTCGGTTCTGACAGGTTTCTGGCATCCAGTCACCATAAGAATGCACAACACTTCCAGCCCCTCTTCTGTCATTTTCTCTGCAAAATCCAGGGAAGGGGGATTGTCTAGCCTGGCCGTTTGTTTTTGAATGTTTCCAGGTTTCGATCACTCTTGTTGAGTGTTGGCTGAATTCTCATCCCTGCAAAGTCTCTCCATCTAGTCAGGCCTGTTCTTCCAAGGGCTACCTCCAGGCTTAGGAGTCCACTCTGATATAAACAAAGACCAAGGTTCTCTGCTCACCTCTGAAGGGCTTATTTCTCCATGAAAGGAAGTTGGCGAAAAATTCTTTGCATCCACTGTTCTTTGCTAGCCTCATAAAAAGTATTTATTTTATCTCGATTTTTCATGTTACTATGGGTTGAGTTTTTTGTACCCTTCTACATTCTAGCAGAAGAAATTGTTCAGGTTTTTATTAGGTTATGTAAAGTTCATTTTCAGCTTTCTAGGTTTCACTCCCAGCTGTGGAATTTTTATTATATATGGCGACATGGCCTTAGGCAAAACCTCTTCTGTTGGACACCTGTTCCCTTATCTGTAAATAAGCATTATAATGTGTACCTTCTGGGATTGTTTTAAAAGTCGTATGAAAAGGTTTTAGAAGCTAGAAGTAAGGCTGTAGGTTATCATGCCCTTACACAAGTAATCTTTGATTCTGGGCTCCATTTCTTTATCTGTGCAATAATGGAAGTGCTGAAATAGATGGGCTTTTCACTAAACAGCACACTGGCCATATTGGTAGACAGATGTGGGGCTCTTGGCAGTTCTGACCTGATCGTCAGGACTTCCAAACTGGATGGATTCCTTAGTCACTGATGGTTGTCAGCCATGGTAAATGGACTCGTTTAATAGGTGCAAATTAGGAAACATGCCATTAGGTAGATAAGTCATAGACATTCCATGTTCCTGTTTATTAAACCCATTTATTTCCTTGGCGCTGTTAGAGCTGTAAGTTTTCCTTGGTTATTAACTTTGAATATTCAAAACTCTGGTACTTCCATAATTATTTTTGTGATTTGAGGATAGGATGGGGGATATAATATACCTTAGTAGTGCTTGATGGAATTCCTTCCATAAATGTAGGTTCTTGGTGAATATACTTATAGAGGCCAATCTTTTAACTAGTTTAAAAATATCAGGTTGATATTGGAGTTGTTTACATGAAAATAGTACCATTATTTCAACCTGTGCTGAACTTTACCTTACAACTATTTATGCCGTAAGTATAAATCAAGATCTTTCTTCACCCATAAGTTCTTACAATATATTGCAGTTTATAAGAACTTTCATGTGTCGTTTTAGTAAAATAGGTGCAGAGCAAGTTGAAACTTCTGAAACAAACCAACTGTATTTCAGAAGTTCACCGAATAAAGTGTGTAGTATTGATGCCAGTGATTACAAATACATATTATGACATTAAAAGAGCTGTGCCCATCAGTTGCTTATATTTTTGAAGGTAGTAACACTATTATTTTTTCAAAAAAGCATTTTCTAATTTAGATGTCTTACTAATTGAGACTGGCTTTCCCTGCAGTTGGTCCCAATTAGGAGATCTGTGGAAAGGGTAGCAGGCTACAGCGGGGCGGGGTGGGGTGCGAGTAGGGAAGGCTACCTCAGTTACGGAGGTGAGCCTGAGCCATCGAACAACTGCCAAGGCTCACCTGTGGAAGGCTAGTTTCTTAGTTCAAGACTTCCTTCCATCCATTATTCTTTGCTAGCCCCATGGAAAAGCATTATTTTTATTTCGTCTTGGTTTTTCTGTGTCAAACTAAAAATGTACAAACGCTAGCCATTGACCCATTTATTTTCAGTAGTAATTTCAATACAATATAAACCAAAAAATTAGGTAGTTCTTGGGAGAATTGCTTGTCTATCGCTTTCATTATTTATTTGGTCAATGTGTATTATGAGTGGTCCAATACATAACAGTTAATATGGACCAAGGAATTAAATGAATGCTAGGGGGAAGAAAAAATAAAAATTTACTTCTATTTTGCTGCAATAATTTTTAAAACATGCATTACCAGACTGTTTAGTCAGGGGCACTGACCTCTTTCCCCTTAGCTTGTCAAGTGAAAAAATGACAACAGCCAAAACAATAGCCATCTGGTGTGAATGAATCAAAATTATACCTATATTTTTTGTCAGATTGTCGAAAATATATTTTTTGGTGTACTGCAACATTTTAGTAATTAGTGTGCGTGTACATGAGATGAAAAGTTGGAAATCACTGCTGTAGACATAGGAAGAGTTGATTGATCTACTGATCATCCAATTTCCCAATTACCTACCAGTGCTTGACCTTGGAGTCAGATAATAACAGAAAGGAGGGAGATGAGGAAAAAGCAAACTTTGCTGTTCTCAAGTCGCCAAGATTGTTTCTTTTTGCAGAGACTATGGGTTGGAAAGAAATCTTGTGTCCTGATACAGTGTTGATGTTTTTATAAGTCCACCGTATCTGACTGAAGGATTTATATTTATATATGTGCCTTCCAGATCTTCTGACACTGCGCTGTGCAGTTTGGCATCCCCCTCAGCACAACTCACATCTTCATGGACTTACACATTCCCTGCCCTGCTCTGTCTTTCTGATTGTCACTAGCAGCCAGCATGTAAGGGTCTGGGGAGAAGTAGGGAGGGGCAACAAGTGGTAGCTTGAGTTGGCTGTTACACCAGTCGTACTTGGGGTAAGGATGGCAGCAGTCATTTTCATTAAGCCTTCAAGACAGAAAGGAGGAGGGGACTCAAGGAAGAAAAGCAAAACGCAGGCCTTCCTGAAGGCCACTGAAAGTATGGGTGGCACCCAGCATCAACTGCTGAGTCAGTGAAGATGTGGGAATTACTGTGAAAAAAACAAAACAAACAAACAAAAAAAACCTGCTTCCCACCCCACTGGTAATACTCCGTGGGGGCACTTTGAGCAAAAGGGAGCAAGTTTAAAAAAAGAAAAAGAATTCAATTCAGATCTTCATGCAATGAAATCCTGGGGAGAGGTCCCCGAGGAACCCAGACATTTGGGGGGAGGTCCCCGAGGAACCCAGACATTTGGGGGGAGGTCCCCGAGGAACCCAGACATTTGGGGGGAGGTCCCCGAGGAACCCAGACATTTGGGGGGAGGTCCCCGAGGAACCCAGACATTTGGGGGGAGGTCCCCGAGGAACCCAGACATTTGGAGAGGTCCCCGAGGAACCCAGACATTTGGGGGGAGGTCCCCGAGGAACCCAGACATTTGGGGGGCGGTCCCCGAGGAAGCCAGACATTTGGGGGGAGGTCCCCGAGGAACCCAGACATTTGGGGGGAGGTCCCCGAGGAAGCCAGACATTTGGGGGGAGGTCCCCGAGGAACCCAGACATTTGGGGGGAGGTCCCCGAGGAACCCAGACATTTGGGGGGAGGTCCCCGAGGAACCCAGACATTTGGGGGGAGGTCCCCGAGGAAGCCAGACATTTGGAGAGGTCCCCGAGGAACCCAGACATTTGGGGGGAGGTCCCCGAGGAACCCAGACATTTGGAGAGGTCCCCGAGGAACCCAGACATTTGGGGGGAAGTCCTCGAGGAACCCAGACATTTGGGGGGAAGTCCTCGAGGAACCCAGACATTTGGAGAGGTCCCCGAGGAACCCAGACATTTGGAGAGGTCCCCGAGGAACCCAGACATTTGGAGAGGTCCCCGAGGAACCCAGACATTTGGGGGGAGGTCCCCGAGGAACCCAGACATTTGGGGGGCGGTCCCCGAGGAACCCAGACATCTCTGGAAATATCACTGCGGTGCTGCGTCGCTCTCAGAGCAGTTCTTGAAAGGACGTGGGTAAGGTCCGACGGCCCCGGCACTACGGTCTGGAACACAGCTGCGGCTGTTTCCAGTGACGAGTCACAGGGCCCTCAGTGGGCATGTGGCCAACCCACACTCACAGGCAGAAGAGGCTCAGCTTTCATTCTGAGAAATTTATTAAACTAAGAATAAGCATCAATTGTACATACAACTAGTCATTTGTGCGGTGTGGCACTAGAGCAGGAGGACAGTTTTAAATATATTTAAAAATCACAAAATACATGGGTTAAGGCACTACCTGTTTTGCATTTTCAATAAATATGCTGTTTTTTAAAAGGCAGTTGTGAGTACCTCTGATGAAATGAATATAGGCACTTTATTATTCAAGTTACACTTTTACTGTGGCCATTGTATATTATGCTCAAAAGAACTTTCATTAGCTAAGATTAGCAGTTTTTAAAAACAGAGTATTTTAAAGATCACAGTTTTCTCTTCCCGGTTTAAGTCTCTTCCAGAGAGACCTATGTATAAAAGGTACTGCTTCTTCATGTCTCCCTTAGCACCAGGAATTGTGCAGAAGTACAGAAGACTGCCTCCCAGGAGGCAAGGCCACCAGAGGTTCGATGTCTCAGAACAGCCACAAGTCTTTGAAAAGATTTTTTCCCCACCTGCAATAAAATCAGCTGGATTTTAAAACCCTGGACCTTTCGGCATCCAAGAAGGCTGCTGTGTAAGTGCCCTCTGTTCGAGGAGCTTCGATAGGCAGTTGAGGTGAGTCAGACCTGGCTCCTGCGTTGTTTGGTGTGGACAGAGTCCCAGACTGGAGTCACGTGGCCTGCTCAGTGCCACCAGCATTTCCCAGTAATGCCAGTTCTATGTTTTGTTGCAGTGCCCAGCAGCTCACAAAGCACATGCTTGTACATCGTCCTTAGTCTGGTCACCTGTCAGGTGAAAGGGTTGGAGTTGATGTTTTCTGAGGTCTTTTGCAGTTCTAGCAGCTCACTAGTCTGGTGGTATGAACGGTTTTCGGTTATAGCTGATGCCACTGCAGTCTATAGGCACAGCCTCTTCACAGGACACAATGCCCACAGCAAAGAGGAGGAATATTAACTTTCCGCACTATTGCCAGACTGAGCCCTGGGTGGAAATCTTTCATCAAAGCACTCTACGCTATTTAATGAAAAGGCACTGTTTAATCGAAGTTACATTATTCACAGAAGTGCTGTAAGACTTCTCTTATTAGATAATGTAACTTCAGTGCCATAGGTAGGTTGCATAGATCTCTGAGATTAAATTCACATTTTCACACATTTGTTTTCTCCAGTCAGGTCATCCTTCAGTGTATAAGTGATGAAGCAGTAAGACTGTTACAGCATGAGGTGAAATATTAGGAAGAATCTTAACATGAGCGCACCTCTTCCAGGTAAGAAATTTTGTCAGTTGTATAGAGGAGGCTGCTGGTCTTCTGATGTATTTTATTACTGGTGTGTGACATTGGGAGAGTGTAGGCTGGCAAAACATAAGCTGGAAAATATGCTTTACTTCTTGGGAAGTAAACAAGACACGTGGTCAGAGTTTTAAGAAATGTGGGACCTACCTGCTCAGATACAGTAGAGAATACAATTAATTTCATTCTAAAGTGATAACGATATTGCTTTCATCTGCTAAGATTTGGTCTTCAGTTTGACTTTTTTCTATATGTATCGAAGTTGGCTTTAAAGTTTAGACACAATTCTTACCTCATTATAAAACTCTAAAATCGGGCATTGAGAAACAATTGGATACAAAGCATCTGATCACAAAAATAGAAAAGGAAACCAAAGAGCACTTGAGAGAGAAACTCCGGGCTGTTTAGCTGTTCTTCTCCAGGGACCTGTAGTAATCTGTCAGGACTTTCCATGCTTTGGGGGCCATGAAGCCATCTGGGGGATTCTCCCCTTCCCGGGCCAGCTTCCTCATCCGGGTTCCTGAGATGAAGTCAAAGTCACTGTTCCTGTCACAGGGTGGGAACAAAGAACTCGGCTTAGGTAAATAATGTCTTCCTTGGACTAGGTTATGGGTTCTGAGGCCACATTTTTTCTGTCTGTAAAATGCTGCATCTTCTAAAATGGAAATTGCCAAATCCTCACTAAGGGGACTTGCAGAAGACGCGGAAATAACGGCAGCTGTGCTCTCACTATTTACTCTGGGTCCACACTGCTCACGGGAAGTCTCCCCGGTTGCTCAGCCTTCACTTGGCGCTGAGCATGGTGAGCGCGCCGTAACACTCATTAAAATGCGTTTCTGTGTGGACTTCCTTTTACTTAACGTGCCAGGCATGCAGTCCTGATGCTCAAGGAATGTATGTTAAAAAAGAAATATTTACGGACCATTTACTCTATTCATGGGCCTGTGCTATAATTTTAGGGAACACAAAATGTGTAAGACCAGGTCTTGGCTTTCGAGGCACGCCCGTTCCAGTTAGCTGCATGTGGAGACACACCCTGGAGTTTTCCAAAGGGCCAGAATTTTGCTTCCATGTTCCAGTGGCACAGATGTTGATCACAGAAGTTTCCTTTGAACACCTACCTTTCCGGGTCATAGAAGTCCATGGCCTTTTTGGCTTTGTTGTAGGCAGCCACTCGGAATGGAATGGTTTCCACAGAGGTGAGGCCGGGGGCCATGCTCAGCACCTTGCCCCCGTGAGTGGGTTCATACAGGTCTTTCTTGGTCTCAGGGTGGGGCATTCCTGCAGGGTCCCGGCCCACAATGTAGAAATTGACGCCCGCAATCATCCGGGACCTGCAGTGCCACTGGACCTGGGAAACCGCACATAAGGGACATGCTGGTCATCACTGGCCAGTTCTGGGGGTCCCCGTTTACTTCTGCTTTAAAGGTAATTCAGCAATTTGGGTCAACTAATAATTGCAAGAAACTCAGTGAGGTGTCTAAAGGCCCCTCGGTCTCTTCTTCACCTGCTTGGTGCTGCTGGGGAGGACAGGAGCTTTAAAGGTCAGAATACCCACTCTTAGAACCTGAGGTTATATTTCCTAATCTCCCCAAACAGGCCTACAGACCAGGAACACTCAGATCTTACTGTTTTACAGAACTGTGAATTTTACTTCCCTATTCAGAATAAATCACAGTTTAAAGGAAATTACAAACTTCACTATCTCTTATCTGACTGCCAAGAATGAGCTAATTGCCTTTCATATGCAGAGGGTGACTCTAGTTCAACACAGCAATGGAATTTCAAAATGAACTGCCCTCTTTATAGCGCAGATGGAAATACAGAGGATGGAGAGGAGACCAGGAGGCCTAAGGCTTTGATCTGGTGGAAGAGAATTAATTTGTTAAACTCAGTTTGGGGCATTCCAAAGGGTTGAGACCCTTTCTATTCATCATACTTCCCGCAAACTTGTTCAAATTCACTTCACTGGTGGTTTGGTGGGACAAAGAAGGTCTCTGTTTGACAGGCTCACTGCGTGATTGAAAGGGAGACACTAAGCTTTTAAAGACATAATCTCCACGAGCTGCTAATGCAGCTCACAGAGCATGGAGAATCAGAGTAACCAGAAGTTTGGACATGGAATATTAGCTTAGACACCACTGGCCTTGTAAACCAGTTAACTTGCATTATTCACCTCATTTACACGCCACCTTCTATATTCTCAAAGGCAGTGTATAACAGGCTTGATTTGATGTTTCTAGCACTTTTATAAGCACTAAGTGGAAACATAATGAACTTGGATAAAGAAGAGACCAGAAGATTTCAGAATGTGCTCGTGATGAAGAAGGAGCCCAGAGACGTATTGGCTCCTGTACGTAAGGTTGGAGCCTGCGCTTTTTGAGGCCCGTGGCCCAGCTCAGGGAACTGCTCACCTCTGTGGGGCCGGCATACAACATGGGAGATGGGAAGATGGCAACGATGGTTGACTTGGGATCCAGGACCTCTTCCTCAAGCACAGCGGCGTGCTGCTTCATCCGCCAGTCCAGGGGCACATCGTCGTCCTTGGTCCAGCCCCCCAGGGGGTGGAGCAGGAGGACCGGGTTCTTGTAGCCCCGTTCCAGGAGCCGGCGGCGGGTGTCCTGCATCAACAGAGCGTGGCCGTTGTGCACAGGATTGCGCAACTGGAAGGCAAACACCACATCTGGGCACAGGAAACATAGAAGCCAAGGTCAAAGAAGTGCAGCATCACTTGTCTTCAGGAACAGAAAGGAGACACAGCTATATGCATCGTTCAGTGCATTCATTATATCCAGTTGTTTTTGATTACCATCTGGAGAACCCACCTGGGTCTTTAGGGGTGTCACTCCGGAGGTACCTGCTAATGTCAGACTGGACTCAGAGGGAGGGAGCCCCGAGGGAGAGCCTGATTCAGAAACAAAACGAGGTTGCCAGGATGCTTGCCGCAAACCAAGGCTCAGGCGGGTGCCCACCCCCTTCATCCACTTGTTTCCTGCTCCAGTCTCCCTTCCCCAGGAGGTGAATAATGATGGGGGGCATTTTCTGGGGCCTCCACAAAGTCTCGACGATCTAGTGACATAAAATAAATTTCGCCTTCTCTTTAAGGAAATCTTCAAAACTACTTCACTTATGGCCCTGGCCTGGTGGCCCAGTTGGTTAGACGTTGCCCCAATATGCCGTGGCTGCGATTTGATCCCAGGTCAGGGCGCAGACAAGAACGACAAATGGAGGTTTCTCTCTCTTGCCTGTCTTCTCTCTAAAATCAATTTTAAAAAAAACCTACTCTGCTTAGCAATGGATACCTGAGAGCCTTAATTTTTCTTTCTGGTTATGAAATAATACATAGCCATTATGACAGCTTGGGAAATACAGAAAAGTCCAAAACAGAATATAAAAACCCAAAGTCCATCATTACTTTTTCTCTCTCTTTTTTAAAGTACGGGAAGTGAGAATCCCCTCCCCTTGGCCCAGCTCCACCCCCCAGAGGCAAGCTGCTGCAGGAGACATTCCTGCTTCTAGACACAGAAATAGCATTGCGATTAAAAAAAAAGTTATTTTATTTTGTTTTCCAAAATTACGTTATACACAAGGTTCTTCAAGGGGCTTTTTCATTTGCTAAATATACTTTGGGTATCTTTCTGTATTGGTGTGTATATTTAACTGCTGGATGGTATTCCAGCGTGTGGATGTAATTCAACTTTATAAACTGTTTCCATATCAACAGACATATCGATAGAAGATGTTCCCTCTCTTTTTAATACTATACACATGCTGTTCCTGACATTCTTACTTCTGTAATCAGAGGGTGGGAAGGAGTCGTAACAAAGGCGGCAGACCAGCGTACATACCAGCTTTCATTTCCTTAAATTTCTGTTTAAGCTCCAGAGGGGTCAGGCGGTACTGGTCCAGCCCATCATTCCACCTGATTCTCTCCAGCACCTGAAGGTCTCCGCCGACCAGCCAATCCCCACTTTCCATCACCATCTAGAAAAACAATGATTAAAATTAGTAAATAACCTTGATTTCTATTCATCTGAAACTTTTTCTCCTTCTGGACCAGTCCTGGGTAACTGTTGAAATACTGCCTGGAGCCCTTCCGCGTTTCCAGCCTGGTAGTTATCAAACTTTGTGGTCCCTCGACCCCTTTATACTCTTAAAATTTATTGAGAACCATCAAAGAGCTTTTGTTTGTGCAGATTATATCTCTCATTTTCCATGTTATAAATTAAAACAGAAATGAAATAGACCCAGAGGGCCTTCAAGAAATGGGTCAAGGCCAAGTGCAGAAAGGGAGGGACAGGTTCGCCTCAGACCAAGAGCCCACTCTGCACACTCCTATATTCTGGTGCAGAACCAAAATGCCTACATTTGAACTTGGCCTTCCAGATTGTTACCAAAGCATAGCTGTCAAAGTAGAAAGGTAGAGAAAAATTTGTTTATTAGATATGTAACTTTTAAAGGTAGTTAGTATCTGGGCTTCTGTTTGGATTTCTACTGTGGGACCCACACACAGGTGTGAGGAATGGTCAAAGTCTTGAAAAAGAAACCCCGCGTGGGTGGAGAGGGTCAGCCCTCCCCTCACAGGGCGGAAGCACAGCCTGGGGCCCGACAGCACACAGTTCGGGCATCACCACCCACTCGGTGGAACTGAACTGTGGTTTTTACGTCTACACCTTAAACTTGCACAGTGTATTATGTCAATTGTATCTCAAGGAACTCACAAGAAAGAAAAATATGACAACCCTAGTTTTTTTCTTTAAACTTAAGACTATGACTCAGTGCAAGTGTCTGTACTCAAGCATCAGAACAAACATAGAAATCTTATTCCTCAGTCAAACAGTGGTCTTACGACCCTTCATCTGGTTGGATTTCACAACTGCCCTTTGCCCTGCCCCGGGACAGTGTGGCCATCTGAAATGTCACGGAGGAGAGGGAGGCAAGAGTGGGAGGAGGGTTGACTGATGGCTAACAGCTGGTCAGAAGACACCAAGGTGGTGAGAGCATAGCTCTGGTTCACATTTCCTGTCATGGCCAGGTGCTGGGTTCACAGTGACTTGCATTCCACAAGGTTGCAGGAATGTGGTTCTCAAGTGGGCGAACCTGCCTCTCTTGGTGACATCTGACAATATCTGAAGACAATTTTGACTGTCATGACGGGTGGGGAGGATATGCTATTGGCATCTAGTGTGGAGAGGCCATTGCACAGGACAGCCCCTCCCACGAGGAGTTATCCAGCCCAGCCGGCAGTAGGTCAGTAGTGCTGTGGCTAAGCCCTGGGTGGACAGAGGGTGATTGTGCAAGGGATTTGGTTATGTTTTCATGGTCCTCTTTCAAAACTCTGTGCTCAGAAAAAAATCAAGTAACAAGAACATTTTCAAATACCTATACGCATACATTTACTTTTTCCTCATTGCTTAAGTTAGACTATAGATAAACTTTTGAAGTATTTAAGATCCCAAATCCCTAGATCCCAAATGCCTGGGAGTGTAGTAACTCATTCTAGACACCAGGGGTCCGCCCTACACCGGTTCTAGCTGCAAGGGAACATTGAACCGATTTCCTACCTAGCCTAAAATGTGCCTGTCTGAAGAGTAATGCCAAAACTATGTTTTTGGTTTTACTAGGTTAGAGAGGGATAAAGGGCATTTCTCTCACCAAGGTGATCAAACAGTCCCCAAAACTGTGACTTTGCCTAATTTCCTAGAAATTCCCATCTCCTGCCAAAGATAGCAAGAGACCACACACAGCTACAGAGTTTGCAGAACTGTACATACACACAGTGAAATGAGCAACAGGGGAACTGGGCTCAGAATCACAGACAGCAGGAGTGCAAGAAGGAGGAGAGGATGGCTTCAAACACTGGGAGCAAGGCGGAGAAGAGGTGAATTGGCTCACAAAGGTCACGGAGAGGAAGACTAGAGACAACCTGGAGAGGAAGAGGAAACACGCCAGTCAGGAGGGCAGCAGCTGAGGACAGAAGGCGCGGAGGTCAAATGAGAAGGGGAGAAAAGAAAAAAGCAAAAGGAAGGGAGAAACCGTGACTACAGGAAAGAAGGTCGTGATGAAAGTGTTCAGAGAACAGAGTGGAGAAGAAAAACTACCATTCTATAAGTGGAGAATATTCATTTCTGTGATCTCTCTCATAGTGATGGGGTTCAGAGCTTTAAGGAACTTGTGGACCGAATGCCCTCATTTTCAGATGAGAAGGCAGCTTTACAGAGGGGAGGTGGCAGAATTCCAGTGCAAATAGCTGACTCCTCCAAACAACGCTCTCTTCACACTGCACTCACTGCCCCTCATCAGTGGTCCCCACGCTGAAGTTTCAGCGTTACCTTCAGAGGCATCTTCCATTCCTGCTCCATCCATGCAGCACTTACTACGTGCTCCGCCATGGCCCTGCCGCTGGGGATTGGATGGCGATCACGACAGATCAAGATGTGGTCCTTGATCTCATGGTTTGGCAGTTTGTGTGGGCTGACAGAAGGGTAAATGGGTAAAAATGCTGTGGGACAGGTGTGGACAGGACAAAGGCAGAGTAGCCTGGGAGGACAAAGAAGGGGCACACACTCAGGTTCACAGGTCATGGGAGTAAGACTAACTTCTTAAATGGGAAAGGAGTGACAAATAAGGTGAGGAGGCAGGGGTGAAGGAACAGTGTTCTGGGTTGAGGGACTAGCATGTGCAAAATCAGAGGATGATGAGTGGGAAAGAGAGAATATGTTGAGACGCGGTGGTAAGAGGTAGTATGGAGTCATAACTTCACAAAGAATTCCCAGATAAAGCTTCAAGAGTTCCCTCTAGTAAAAGGATGGAGAAAGGATCAGAGAAGAGAAAGGCAAGAGACAGGGAAGAAACGAAACGTCCTGGCACAAGCTGGAACAGAAGAGAAGCGGACAGATTCAAGCAGTGCAAGAGGCAGAAACATCAGGACTGGTGGCTAACTGAACAAGGGAGCAGACAGAAGTAACAATGACCTTCAGGTTTGGGACATGGCCAGTGCTGGGGTGGGGGAGCCGCTCACTGAGCTGGGGGACACCAAAAAGGAATCAGGTCGGGGGCGAGGCTGCCCCTGTGGAGTGTGAGGCACTTGCAGGACATGTCCAGGGGGAGCCATACAGGAGAGCACTCTGGGTAACGTCTAATGCACTGGTTCTCGGTCTGCGCAGTGCAGTAGAATCACAGGGAACTCTCACCTCCGACACCCAGAACTGACCCCAGGGCAATTAAACTGGGAGGATGGGATCCCGTCCTGGGTAATTGTTAAAGCTCCCTGGGTGGCTCTCACGATGGGAGCGACCTACGGTCTTCACTGCAGAGCTCAAGGGAAGTCACACCCTGCTCGCTTGGTTTCTACATCAGTAAAATAGGAGTGACGATTCTTAGCTACTTCACAAGAGCATTGTGAGATATAATTACTGTTTGGGAAAGCCTTGAGAGCCATGGATGAAGGGCAACAGGGCTCCTCCAACATTAGTTTAATAAGTTTCACCTGCTCCTCCTCATGCTTTCATATGCAATCATGTCACATGGTTCCATATTAGAGACGAGAGAGAGGGACTTGAATGGAGGGTTAAGGTGACATTAGTGAGGAGCAATGCAACAGGGGCGATCCTTTCCCTAATGACTCTGACCATTTTTCCATGCAAAATCACTCCCAGCGCCACATGGAAATTACTTTGGGAAGTTTTGGGGTTTTTAAAAAAGAGAAGTATTGGGACTTCCGCCAAGATGGGGGTTTAGCTGGATGTGCCTGCCTCCTCACACAACCAAGTTTAGGGACAACTAAATATTAGCATCACAAAACACAACCAGAACACGGAAAACTGAACTTTTCGGAAGTCCGCTAACAACAAATTATTCAGCCTGACCAGTAAGGGGCGAAACCAGTGTCCGGTGAGGACTTACAAAGGAGGGCTCGGTCGGACCGGCGCGGAATCGGCGCGCGAATCCAGTCACGCGGGTTCCAGACCCAGGATTGGACCTGGTGAGCCGCCGGGCAGCCCACCGAGGGAGCGACGCAGTGGGGAGGCGGTGGCGACGAGTTGCCTGTGGTTGCGTGGTTGCGCGCGAGTGGGGGAGTGAGCGGTTGGACCGGCCCGGCGGCGGCAGCGGCGGCGGCTGCGGCGGCAGCTGCGGCGGTGGCGGTGGCGGCGGCCATTTCCCGCTCTGACCACGCCCCCACATATAGCGTCACAACCCAGCGACCTGGGACTCCAAGGCGCCGCTTGTCCCACTTAAAGGGCCAGAACAGACCAAAAATGTCGCAGGCAGAACTCAAAGCCCCAGAGATAAATCTAAATGACGAAGAAATAGCAAAACTCTCAGACGCACAGTTTAAAACACTGGTCATCACCTTTCTCACAGATTTGGTGGATTACAGCCACAAATTAGAGAAACATATGGAGGCTAAATTAAGGGGAAATGAATGGAATTCCACAGGAATCCCATAGAGATGAAAAGGAAACTGGGACTCAAATCAATGCAATGGTCCAGAAGAAAGCAAATAATGGACAAGCAGAAAAGAGTCAAGGAGCAAGAATTCAAAGAAATGAGGAGAGTCTTAGGAACCTCCAGGACATCTTTAAACGCTCCAATATCCGAATTATAGGGGTACCAGAAGGGGGAAAGACACAACCACCAGTGGAAAAACTATTTGAACAAATAATAAAAGAAAATTTCCCCAATCTGGCAAAGGAAATAGAATTCCAAGAAATCCAAGAAGCCCAGAGAGTACCAAAAAAGTTGGACTCAAGAAGAAACACACCAAGGCATATTATAATTACATTAGCCAAAATTAAAATGAAGGAAAGAATCCTGGAAGCAGCAAGAGCTAAGGGGACAATCACCTACAAAGGAGTCCCCATCAGGCTGTCAGCAGATTTCTCAAAAGAGACCTTACAGGCAAGAAGGGGCTGGAAAGAAATATTCCAAGTCATGAAATCTAAAAACCTACAACCAAGATTGCTCTACCCAGCAAAACTTTCATTTAGAACGGAAGGACAGATAAGGTGCTTCTCAGATAAGACCAAATTCAAGGAGTTCATCATCACCAAGCCCTTATTATATGAAATGTTAAAGGGACTTATCTAAGAAAAAGAAGTTAAAGAAACATGAACAGTGAAAGGACAACAAACCCACAGTTATTAACAACCACACCTAAAACGAAAGCAAACTAAAAGGACAGCTAGAACAGGAGTGGAAACATAGAAATGAAGATCTCAAGGAGGGTTAGCAACAGGGGAGTGGGAGGAGGAGATGGGGGGAGAAGGTACAGAAAACAGGTAGCATAGACAGTAGATAGAAAACAGATGGGGGGGGCGAGAATAGTTTGGGAAATATAGAACCTATAGGACTTGAGACACATGGTCATAAACTAAAGGGGGGTAATGGTGGGGTTGGGGGGGCAGGGTGGAGGGAAATGGAGGGGGGAATAGAACAACTGTAACAGCATAATCAATTCAAAAAAATAAATAAATTTAAAAAAAAAAAAAAAAAAAAAAAAAAAAAAGAGAGGTATTTAAGTATTATGTGAATTTCAAGGTACTAAAAAAATGCGGAGTTTCCTTCCCCATAAAGCCCGAGTGTTGCGAGTCTGGTAAACACACTGTGAGCATCCAAGTGTGGTGTGTACAGGGGGCGTGGCTTTCTCCCTCGGGTCACCCATGGCCCATTTCTCACCGCCAGGTGGCTCACTGGGAATGTTTCCAGAGTCCCTCTAATAACCTTCTGGCAGAGAGTCACTGACTATATTGTCAAGGTCACAGTCACATCACTGCTCTCCCTGGCTTCTAAGAAAGTCTGAGCCTCAACTGCCAAGGGAGAGCCCCAACTTGCCACTCGCACACATGGCAAGATAAGATAAAGAGAAATACTTGTTTACAAGCTCCCTTAGGTTCTGTTTGGTTGGTGGATGTCAGGCCCAACGAGTTGGAACTACGTTGGCAGGCAAGATGACAGACAACCATTTCTTGGGTGACTGAGCGAAGATGAAATCACAAACCTATGTGATCACTATTGGGAAAGGAATGAAGCAGGAACAGACTAAGGCCCAGAACACAGTTCCTCCAACAGCACTCCATGTCCAGCCATTTCCAGGACAGCCTGCCTGCCTCTGGGAGAGAAACTGTTCAGATGGCTTTGAGCTGGATGTGCATTAAGATTAAAGATGCTTATCTGCAGGGTGGAGAGTTGAGTCCAATAAGCTGCTTTGCGGCCAACTGACCTCTGGCATCAGGGGGCTGCCTCCAGCAGCCTAGAAAAGGCCCTTCCTATCTTGCCACATTTCACAACTGGGAAAAAAATAAGACATAAGTTTGTCCAACAGATTCAGACAGGTTTATTTAAACATCCATTTTACAGGGTCTCAGAGCTGAAAGAGATCTTGGAGTTATTTTGAGTCTGGACCCCAGCTTTTATAAATGAAGAAACAGCTCCAGAGAGAAGATGCGCTTTTAAGGGTCTTCTGGACCCCAGACTGGCCTCCTCCTGTGAACTTTCTGAAAATTAGTTACTCCAGCTAGGGACTTTGACAAGTCAAATTAGCAGTCTCTTTAAATTTCAACCTCAATGCTTTAATCTCAGATGAGAAATGAGTTTTGGAAATCAATCTCCCATATTTTTCTTTACGGGAAATAAATCACCTCCAGCAATTCCATAATACTCTCTATTCCCATCCGACCACCCAAAACAATTAGAAACTGTAAAGGAATCTGAGGAGTTTTAGTCTATTTTGCATTTAGGCAGAAGGGACTTGAAATGATCCTAATCAGATGAATATATTTTTCAATCTAAAAAATATCCACTGATGAAAGTGTGGTTTTCTTCCCTCTGGAAACTCTGCCAATATCTGCAATGATTTTTGTCCCCTGAAAGGATGTCATTGACCCCTGCCCCGGCCACAGAACATGAACTCTGAGTCTCTTTCTGATGGTTGGCTGGACCCCTTCTGAATGAAGAAACTGACTTCCCTTGTAAATTTTCAAGATGGACAGGACTGCAAGGTCTGGCTGTGGTTTTGTGCGTAGCTATAGTTACTCATGATGCTAAATTAAATTATCCACCTGGCACAGTTGTTTCCCATTTAGCTCAGAAACCCAGACATCACTGGGTCCAAGGACACAAGAGATCATTTAGACCATCCTCAAGATAAAGACATTTCTTTGCTCCTTTCTAAAAAGATCTCCAAGCAAAGCCTGCAAACCTCCCTGTATTCTTCCATTTAACCCCACTTTTTCTAAGTCCTTCAATGAAGGACTTGAAAAGAACTATTTTTGTCCCAACTTGGAAGAGATCAAGGAAACCTTTCCAAAGGTTTGGCAACTTACTTTGATGTGGGGATGTTTGGCGCACGTGGTCCCCCACACACGGGAGCACCGCTCCTCTTTCCTATGTTCATAGAATTCAGGGTCTCGCAAGACAGCCACCTTCCGTCCGCTGTGCGTGAGGACAACCTTGCTGCATCCTTCCAGCCGCGTCTTATCGTCCACAGAGACCGGCAGCACGATGGGAATGCTCAGGTTGATCACTCCATCTGTAGAAAGAGCCACACGGTGGGTGAATATGAGATACAGAGTGTGCTGTCCTGTACGGGTGACTCTGATGTGCACAGCGTCCCTTCCAGACAGTCCCTGCAGCAGGCACTGAGACCGACGTGCAGCACATTTGGGTAGCCTGCACCGGTTTCCTGAGCGTCTGTGATGAGAAGCGCTCGAAGGGCGTTTTAGAGCAGGGGGTGGGGTGTTTGTGAAAAACGGGCTGAGTTTCAAATCATGGAGGTTGCCTCCGTAATTCAGGTGGCCAGCCAGGGGCAGCTCCCTTCTGGGCTCCCTTCTTGTTTTGTTTTGTAAAATATTTTATTTATTTATTTTTAGAGAGAGGGGAAGGGAAGGAGAAAGAGTGGGAGAGAAACATCAATGTGTTGTTGCGTCTCGTGTACCCCCTACTGGGGACCTGGCCTGCAACCCAGGCTTGTGCCCTGACTGGGAATCAAACCGGTGACCCTTTGCTTCACAGGCCCATGCTCAATCAACTGAGCTACACCAGCCAGGGCTGAACTCCCTTCTTAAAGCTTGGTCCTGGCTTCATTGCACTAGGAAGCTTAAAGTCTTTAAGATCCCAATTAAACAAAGTAAAGGTTGTCAAACCAAAGCGATCCCAAGCCCTCCAGTCCTTCTTGGAAATGAACCTTGTGACACCGTTGTCAAGTCTCTTATGATCTGCAAGTCTCTAATTGCACTACTAACAAATTGAATTGAAAAAGACAAAAACCCAGACAATGTAACCAACAGAACCCCAAATGAGCAGCCCTCTTGATGTTGTTTGTTTACTGTGGTGCAGGCACAGTATCACCTTGAAATGTTTTTGAAAAGACGTAGCTGGGAATCCCGAGTCTTGCTAGCTCAGCCACAGCCACAGCCGAGAAGCATCCAGCGTCCATCAGGAAAACAGGGCGGAGTGAAGCTGATGTAACACTTAGTGGCTCTGGCTCAGGCACTTTCTCTGGAGAGGGAGCACCTTTCACCTGTATGCTGAGTCTCTTACTTTAAAAGGTATCTGAAGAAATGGGATGTTCTGGCTTCTTAGCACACCACACAGCAAACCGGAAGGTGTGGAATGTGGTGTTCAGAAAATTCATTTTCGGGGACAAGAAATATCAAATGATAGCTTGACCATAGAGGAAAAGACTGGAAAACTAGATCAGACAGAAAGTGTGATCATTAATTTTATGGGTCAACATAAAATTATGTGTCACAGCACCCAGGTGTTTGGTCAAACATTATTCTGGATTTCAAACATTTCTCTGAAGGTATTTTTAGAGGAGATTAACAGTTAGGTCAGTAGACTCTGAGAACAGCATATGATCCTGACGTAGTGGGCTTCATCCACGCAGCTGGAGGCTTTCATGGAACGTGTCTGCCTTCCCAGGAAGCAGAGGGAAGTCTGGCAGCAGACTGCCTCTTTTCTTTTTTTATTGACTTTACTGGGGTGACACTGGTTAATAAAATTATGTAAGTTTCAGGTGTACCCTTTGGTTACACAGACTGACTTTGGACTTGAACTGTGACTCTTCCCTGGGTCTATTGCCTGTCAGCCTGCTCTGAAGATTCTGGACTTGTTAAGCCTCTGCAATTGCCTGAATTGATTCCTTAAAAGAAAGAAGGCAAGAAAGAAATCTCTTTTTCTCTCTCTGTTCTTTCAACCCTCCCTTCCTCTCTCTCTGTCCTATTTCTCTGAAAAAAACAAAAACAAAAAAAACAAAAAAAACACCCTAACATGTGAATATGGCAACTCAAAGTACAGACTCGCGAGGGCTCCTTCAGCGCGAGGCCAACAGCCCCACCGGCTTCCCAGGCCTCAAGGCCCCGGCAGTGACGTGAGAGCTCAGCTGGGTGACGGGAGTAATGAATAACGAACGAGGGCGGGGCCAGCCTTTAAAGTTTCCTTTTTTTTTTTTTTAAATAAGTGAATAGCAAGTTATTTGTTTTTTTTAGAAGAACACTTTTCAAGCTGTTTCCAGATAAAGTGAGTAAATGGTGTAGTTGTTTTTCAGTTTGGGGCTTAAAAGGATGCAGTTTGGCACCCTGGGAACATCTAGTTTTTTAATGGAGCTGGATAATTAATGTAAAAAAATCACACAACTGTCTTCCCCTCCTGTAACGACACCCTAACCGTCTAACAAGTGCCTCAGGTGTACTTACAGGTAAGAAAATGGAGGCACTCAAGAACATTAGGGAGGTTTCTGAGGAGTTCCCAAGTTTAAGACTCAGAAGGAAATGAAAGGAAGATGAATAGAGAAAATATTGAACTCCAGAGGAACAAAGGCAGTTACTTCTGGATTTGAGGAATGTACCACAAATTAATGAAGTATTTTCAATATCCAACATTTGGAATGCCTCCAATACAATGAAAGATCTGAGACCTGAGTTCTGTTCTGGGAGCAAAACACCCTCTCTGGTAGCTATAAAGCCAAAGTCTCCAGGCTTCTCACTTACACCTTTTAAATTCTCTTTAGAAGTTCCTACGACACAAAGAATGTCACAGGCTAGAGACAGCAACTGCCAGAAATAAAGAAACCCTATCATAGAACCCTGGAACCTGCTCTGGGAGCCCTTATAAGCCAAGAAGAAGACATTGTGCACAGAAAGCAATGGGTTTAGTCATTCAAATAACTCCTTTGTTTCAAAGTTCATGGGCAATTGAGCAGGCCAAGTCCTGCACAGAGAACACTAAACTCAGGCAGGTGTTCTCCCTTTGCTACCTGTGTCCTTCACTTTCTCTGCTCAATTTCCTCATTTGAAAACTGCTATAATAAATAATATGTATTTCCCTGGGTTGCTGGGAGGAAGCATACTGTAAAGCCTTGTTTCAGGTTTATGTTGAAAGGTAATTAGACCAACTGTGTAGTCTCCTTGAGAAAAAAGAAGAGAGAGGTTAACAACATCTTCAAGGCTACTGATGATCTAGTAAGAAACCATATTTTCTGTTCATGGTGGATTACTAACCACACTGCTTGTAAAGAGCGACTTGACCAAAATAAAGTTAAGCAAGATGCAAAGCAGAAGAAGGGCAGGATGCGAGAGGAAGCCTAGCTCTGCCTGCAGCACACTCGTGGTGGTGTCTTCCCTCCGTTATTCTGGGCTGAGATCCAAGGCATACTCCGCTTGCTTGTTGGAGCCACTTCCTTCAGTCCCACCGGGTTCCTGCCCAGAGCAGCCCGTGACCCACCTTTGTCCTGGCCTTGGATGGAAATCCAAGCCGGGGAGCCGGCACTTCCTGACGAGAGGGTCAGGGCAAGAGAAGTTCTACAGAGTAATATCGCCACCTGGAGCTACAACTCCGCACAGGTCTACACAGATTTACTGTGGTATCCTTATTATTATTATTATCTTTTTTACTTTTCGGATACAAAACATATCCAACAACTTAACTCTCTGCTGAAACATTTTCCATAGCTTTACACACTGACTCGGGTTTTTGGCCTTTTCCCACCTTGTCCCTCAGATGGGAACTGCCTAGGGTGTTTTATTGCAATATATCTCATTTTAGAAAAGAGTATTATAGTTTTTTAGCCATGGGTAGTCCAACATATAACTTCATGTTCAAGTGAATAATTTTGCTTTTGCTTTAAACAATTTTCAAGCCTTTTGTTTTAACCTCTTAGATCCATTTACTAAGCTTTTCCGGGCTATTTCTAGGAAAGGAACTAAAGTACTTTTTATTACTTATCTTGGCTTTTTAAAGAAAAGACCAATAATGGGGAAATCAATACCAAAGATAAATGATATCTTCAGAATTTAAGCATTTCATCCTGGGACAACGCAGAAGTTCACGGTCACAGCAAGTACGTGTTTATTCCCAGTTCTGTAACTGTCAGTCATCACAGCTCTACGTTAAATTCATGCATAATCACACATCACAAACAAGTACATGACTCACACCCCACCCAGGTGCATCCACTTTAAACTACATCTAAAATTGATTTGTCCTACTGCAATTAAAAGTGTTTAATAAATGCTATGGAAGAAATTTCCAGATTTGTGAAACTACCCAAAGACCAACACTCAGTAGAAGTAAGTAGTGGAGAACATCATACACTTTTTAAAATCTCAGGAACAAAATGTGCAACAATTTAGAAACAAGTTTACTTTTGTCAGCCAAATACAACATTATAAACAACAGCTGCATCTGATCCAGAAATTTCCTGTTATTTGGACTCTAGTCAACTGAAGAATGCAGTATTATTCTATTATAACTGGTTGGATGGTGAACTCTTAGCAACTCTGACTAGTTCATTTGGATTTTTTTTAGTTAGGTTCTCAACCATTTCTAATTAATATAAAATATCTACTTATAATAATTAAAGTACCCCTTTCCAAGGGGTACTTGGAAAGTTAAAGGACATACCAGAAAGGACCATGTCTAGAAAAATGCAGACACAATTAAGAAACATGTTTTCAGCTCTCTAACAAAATAATCTGAAAGCAATGTCAAGGAACAGATTCCTATTATAAAAGTTCATACATACAACAAACATTTGGAGCTCTTTGCTACTCTTATTTTAGAAAACAGAATATACGAGAGCAAAAACCTGGTGAAAGCAGATTTGTACTGAACATTATTCAATACAATCCAAAAACATTATTTCAGATTATTATATGTTTTAAAAATAATTTTAACATATGTCAATGGCTCCTCCAACTTTGGAATGAAATTGTCTCTTGCACATCTGTGATGGCGTAAGTATTACAAACAGTTGCAAACCAGGCTTTGGGAGAAGATTCAGAATCGAACTTCTCTAAAACATCTTAGAATCCTAGCTGTTTGGAAGACGTGAAAATGTGCTCAGTAGAATAAGCACAAAGGCTGGGGCCAGGGTAACCTGTGTTGGAATAGAGACTTCACACGAGTTGTTTAACCTTTCTTTCCTCATATGCACATCTTCACAGTGGTGTTGCACAGATCAAATGTGATGTTCAATGTCACAAGCCACAGTCAGACCACATTAAGTGTGGAATAAATGCTATCAGTATAGACAGAAAGTCCTCAAGCCTTGCACTGAAAACTCAGAGCCTCGGAAGACTTAATGTTAAATGATTAAGTCTCACAAAACTGCTATGATATGACCCTCCCATGGGCCACCAATCAAGAGCACAAATGGTATATTATCTCTGGTCTCTGCTTTTATTAACTGATTTCCCTAGGAGTTGAGGAGGCTTCTGAAGGGTGTGGGGAATTTTAAATCCTGACTACACCTGGGGTCACACAGGCATGTCCAGCGGACTCTGGGGGCAGCCGTCGATGGTGGAGCCGGCGGAGAATTCCCAAAGGGCTGAAAGGGGTCTTGCACAAAGCCCCAGAAATAGGCCCTATCAGTTGGAAGTGGGTAAAGATGATGAAAATAGCATGACATCTGGTCTTACCCCATCCCCCACATAGCCCTACTGCCATATATAAAAAGGCGAGAGTGCAGATTGCAAGAGTTGTTTCCCTCAATTCTCTAACACTGTGGGGCTCAAGCAACCGAGCAAGAGAGTCCTTCCCACTTGAGAAAAAAGTATGTGAACTGCCACAGCCCTCTGGGTACAATCGCAGTAGTGACTGGAGAGAATGGGCAAGATCTGCACCTCTGTGGGGGCAAAGAGACACTGAGACCCACGTGGTAAGTGGCATATGACTGTGGGCCTAACTCTGGAGCACAGGGAATACCTCTTGAGAATTCCCACAAACCCTTGGGGGTAGGATTTGGAAAGAACTGGGATTTCTATGTGAGCAGGGAGGGGTTGGGAACTAGTGGATTCAGTGCTAATGGGAAAGTAACCTCATTTGTATCCTCAGACAGGCGGGCTTGGGGGAGAGGCGTGATAAATACCAGGGTTACGCGGGAAGGGAGAGCAGTAATAAGTGCTTCGACTACCTCATGGTAGTTAAGAACCAAATGAGAAAAAGCAGAGCAACACATTTTACGAATTGAAGAACACCATAAAATGAAATTGAATGGTGTGAGAGGGAGGGCAAGAGATTTTGCTTCAATTGTCTAGATGGATTATGTGCATTAGCTGTTCTTCATCTTTTTGAACCATAAACTCCTATAGAATCCATCAAAATCTAGGATGACCAAAAAAATGCCCCCTTATCCCTTTAAAACACAAACGATTTGCCTACTGTAGGATTTTGTTGTCCCCACATGCTGAGGTCCTAGACTCCAAGTTAAGAACCCCTCGTTTCTATTAACACTGACCTCTGCAACCACACCCACCTCCATGGTATTTTTCTTTAAAGAACAAATACTAGTCAAAGGTTATAGGCCTGTGTCTGTAATTCGGTTCTCACTTTCAAGGCAGCTCATGTTTCTTTTGGCCAGAGCTCTGATTTGTATGCTCATGGTCAACCTCATGGTCAGCCATGCTCGAGGCTGGCGGCTGAGTGATGCAGCTTGTGTTCAGCATATGTTGCAAGTAAGACATTGAGGTAAAGGTCTGCCTATAAATGTCTGTTGTACAAACATCCCTACCTACTAACTGCTATTGGAAAGGCTATCTGGAGGGCAGCCGGATGTGGAAAGAGCCCTGGGCCAGCAGTCAGGAGACTCTGGTCTCTGGTCTTGAGCCCCTCACCTACTAGTGGCATGAACTTTTCAGCAAAGTGCTTAACCTGAGGTCAGTTTCCTCATCTGTAAAGTGGGATAAAACAGTTGCCTGTCTTCTAGGGCTTCTATGAGGATCAAATGAAATACCTGAGAAAATGCTTTTCGAACAGTGAAGTGTTGTGCAGATATGCATTATAATTATTAAGGTAAGCTATAAGAAAAATCAAGTGTTTTGGGAATGTGATTTAATCTGAGAGGTGAAGGTCTCAGGTTTGGGGACATTATCAGCCACAGCTATTAATGGAACAGCTGATAAAGGGCATCAGGGGAGAGGGCCCATTTGACCAGAGCCTTTTCTTGAGCCCTAATTCCGGCTTGAGGCCCCATTCCCCAGGCAGAGACACAGGCCCAGAATGTGAACATCCTTTCCCAGGAACATCTGATTTGATTTTTTTAAAGATTTTATTTATCTATCTTTAGAGGGGAAGGGAAGGAGAGAGGGAGAGAATATCAGTGTATGGTTGCCTCTCACGCATTGCCTGCTGGGAACTGGCCTGCAACCTAGGCATGTGCCCCGACTGGGAATCAAACCACGATTGTTTGGTTCGCAGGCCTGCGCTCAATCCACTGAGCTACACCAGCCAGGGCTGATTTGATTTTTTTTTTCGTCCCTAAAAGCTTTGAGCCCTGCTCAGCATTACAAATTCAGGGTGACTCTCACACACATCGGCCGCTCTCCACCATCTTGTAACAGACAAGTTCCATTCAATAAGCTCAGGCAGTTTGAGGAAGGAAATGATCATAGAAGGGTCAGGAAGCTTTCTGAATAACACATGTTTCTGACCTTGACCACATCAGTACTCTAAAAGCCAATTCAGTTGGTGCCCAGAAAGCTGCCTTAATGCTCCCTTGTTAGAGTTTAATGGATGAAGACATTCTAGTATACAGGGTCTGGCACAAATAACACCCATTTTATTATAAAACCTTTTATTACAAAATCATAAGCATGTAATTCTATAACATAATAATATCACACTCAAGCACACCATATGACATCTTAGGCGAAATGTTCGAATTGAAACTATAAATTATGACACCCATATTATTACCCTAACAACCACATTCAAGCAGGCTTTACTTCTGCTGGACCCTGTGTTGCATGTATGGGCATGAATGTTGACACTGTAGCATCCATCAAGAAAAGCAGCTGCTGTAATGATGGCTTACAGAGCAACCTGGAAGGTGAGTGGTGCCTTGCAGGTCAGCAACATATGTGGAGTCAACCGCATTGGGTCCAGAGGGTCCTCGCATCTGGCAACAATGCTTCTGACTGTCTGCAGCTGCCTTCTAGGCATCCAGAGCCAACAAAGGGCTGGTGCAAGTGAAATAGGCCTAACCATCTCTTGGCTTTGTGTGCAAGGAAAACCTTCAGTTCCTTGGTTTTAAATGATTGATAATTGTTTGAGGATAACCAGTAAATTCGTTCAAATGGAAGCTTATATGTAATAGAATCAGACATACCATAAGCAATCTAAATGTTTTCACAATAAGATTTACAAACCAAAGATTGGCATTTTCTTGCTCCTATGAAGATGCTGAGAAAGATTTTCCTCTTTAATAATAAAGAGTAGCAAGAAAGGAAAGTTATTCCAAGGCTGGGTAATGTGTTCTTGAACAAGCTCTGAACCATTTGGAGATGGAAAGTTGACAGAAAAGCGAGGAAATGAGCAAAATCAATGGTTAGAATTGTACAGTGTCTAGAAATCCATTGGGTGAATCAATCTTTACTTACACAAGGTAATAACTAAATAATAACTAAATAAAAGAACTAAAGTTCTAACAAGTGAAGTGACTTTTCCAAAGCCAGAAGAGTGTGTGGCAGAAGTAGGTCAGGGTCACTAGGACGTCTGAGTCCGAAGCAAGTCCCCTTCCCCCGACACCACGGTAGCAGTCCTTCGGCGGTCGTCATGAACACGCCGATGGAGCGAAGGAAACAGAAACTGTCGCGACTTGGGAAACTTCACTGAATCGGCCAAATAACAATAACAACAACAACAACAACAACAACAACAAAATAACAGTAAAGACAAAGAAACAAAGAAAAACCCATACCGTCTAGCAGGGTGCTGAAGTGCGTAACCTGCAAGTACTCCTTTTCTCGCATAAAACCTTTGAGGGGAGTGGCCCAGCCTTCACTCAAAACTTGGACCCACTGAAGATCCAGCTGCAAAACAGGAAAAGCAGGTGAACATTTCTCTGAGCTCCGTCAGTCAGCCGTCTGGCTCCGGGGCAGCCCTTTCTTACTCAGTCCACGGGAGCGTGAAGGCAGAACCTTTCATGTTTTTAGTGTTCCCATATGTGGGGGCCAGATAAACTGGAGTCCAGAACTTTCCTATGGGGCAGTGGTGAAAATATTTCAAATTGAGATGATTTATTCGAACGCTTTTAGGCAACATCTATCCTTATGGTGTGCAATTGTATTGAACATTCACTGTTCATTCTTTTTTTCCCCCACAAAAATTCTGGGTTGGCTACATTTTCTCACCAAATGTACTATGACAGGGGTCCCCCCAAAATATGAAATTTATTATTTAAAAATTATGTATTTATTCTTACACGGTTAAACTTCAGTCACCTTCAAAATCTTCTCCACCTGATGCAATACACCTATCAAGACATTATTCCACTGCTCAAAAACAGTTTTTGAACTCATTGATTTTGATGCCTTTTAAGTGCTTCTGTCATTTTTTGTTTCACCTCTTCCACCTCAGCAAAATGTTTCCCATTAAGGAGTTTTTTCATCCAGGGAACAGACAAACAAAAAATGGTCCTCGGGGCCAGATGGGGTGAATAGGGAGGGTGTCATGTTGTATTTGGTCAAAGACTGCTGAACACTCAGTGTTGCCGTGTAGGCAGGTGTGCTTGTAAACTGCCCATCGTGAAATGGGCACACGCTTTGAAAGAATTTTCAAGAATATTCAGTGAAGCCTCTCACAGCCTCTCACAACAATGCCTGCTGTTACACTGATCCAGATGGGTTCTTGTAACACTCACCTATCAGGGGAAGCCTGTACTAAAAGGGCCTGCACTCTAGATGATAAATCTGGTTTTGGGGTTCCGCCCCCCTCTGTCTTTAGCTGACTAGATTGGGGAAACCATGGACTCTAACATAAAATTCCAAAATTCTTAGCATGATACTGAAAGCCCTTCAAGCTCTGGGCCAGGGGGCTTAGGTAGGGACTTCCACCTCTTCCCATTCCCCACTTGGGAGCCTATTCACCAGCAATGCCAGCCAGTCGGTAGTCTAAACACACACATGGTTTCAGGCCTATCCTCCTTCCCACCTGAAAACTCCTATTCATCCTTTAAAACCCAGCTCCTGGGTCACTGCTCTGAAACCTTTTCTATCATCCTTAGGACTAAAAAATATTTATTAGATTATTTGAAGGGTTTTTTTTTTAACCTTAAAGCCTATTTTGTTCATGGAACTATGATTTCATAGTGTAATTATAATTATGTTTCTAATCTGCCCGGAACATTGGAACACTCAGATTTTATTTTATAGAGTCAGGGATTCTGTATATAAATTTGTCATGACTTATTAGAGTACAGGGGCTTCATGAGCGGAGGCAGGTTCTCAATTCATTCTGTGTCTTATAAAAATGTCCAAGGCTCTAATAGATAATAAAGATATCCATGAAAACATGGTCAACTTGTATGGACCAACTAACATACAAGGCCAAGGCGTACTCAGAGCAGTCCACTGGCGTTGGGTCTGTATTTCCCAGGCAGTAAAATAAATGCAGCTCCCTCAGAGTAAAGTTGTCTCCCTCTCTCATCAGACTGGACACTCCCTGATGACGGGAGAATAGGATTTGCAGAGTGGAAAAAGATTGAGGCATTCATGTCACTTTAGTTCAAGGTTGCTTGTTGTTTTCTCCAAATTCTTTCTCGATGGCCCAAGAGGCTCTTATATTCAGGACAAGCAGTCTGCCAGCCGCTGCCAACATCTCTTGCCTCCTGCTCGGCATACCCGATGGTATAAAAGCAGTCCTGTAAAACTGTCCTATGGAAATACAGACACTACCTTCCCAGTCTGCCTCTGTACCCAGCAGTGACCACCTGCCCTGTGGCAACTCTTGGTGACAGATTGGATTAGAGAAGAGGTTTTAAAATAGACAAAATGAAGCATTTTTCTTTATGAACATTGCATTTCCCTTATTCATACTGCCCATAGTATCAAGAGCAATTATAAATGGATTCTAATGACTAATATTAAGCACAATACCCCTTAGCCAGTCTACACCCTATTACCTTGGTGATTGACAGTGAAGGGAGAGTTTCAGCCTCGGCTCGGACTTGGTCCAGTTTGTTTTCCGGCACAAAGAGCTCATGGATGCCATTGATTATAGTATGGGGTACAATGTTCTGCAATGAGGCAGAATTGGTAACAATTTGAATGAAAACTTAAGAAAGAATGCTTCAGCAAATATATGGTTTTTTTCCATAATCTTATTAAATTAAAGAGAAAATGAAAAGATGACCAGTGCACCTACCTGCTCTTGCAGAAGTTCCACCACCTGCTGGACACAGTCGCTCACCGAGGACAAGTTGGTTTTAAGCACAAGCTCGGGCATTTCAGGTTTCTCATAATCAGAATCGATGCCTGTAAACCCTGCAAGGCAGAGATGGGTGAAAATCGCATCTGCTCCGACAGAAGCATCTTTTTAAATCAATAAGGCAAAACAGATGTTGGAATAATGTGTTAAACTGAGAATTCGGATTATAACAGAAAAGCTCAACCAGCCATCCCTGACCTCTATCTAGCCGTACACGAGAAAATATACAGCTGTGTTTTCAATAGAGAAAGGCCCGAATTATCCACAAGATCTGGCTAGCAAAGTCTAATCAGTCCCTGGGGCTGATTAGAACCAAAAAAGAAGACAAGAATATGGGAAGACTCAGACACACCCCTCCTACTCACATGCTCACATACACTCACCCATATTAGTTCCTTGAACTTTATTGCTTATTCTTGAAAGATATGAGCCCACATTTTATTAAGCCCATGGACATACGGAAGGTATTATGGTGGGATAAAACGCTGTGTACGCTCTGTGCAATTTTGGAAAACAGCTTTTGAAACTCCGAGCAGGTTTCTGGGGACAGACAGGAAGGACTGGGGGCCGACGTAAGTGGCAACGGTGCTGCCGAGTTCTCTCCTACCTTTGATCTCCCCTGCGCGGGCTCGTTTGTACAGGCCTTTTACGTCCCTGCTTTCGCAAACGTTTAGAGGCGCGTCTACAAATATTTCAAAGAACCGCAGCCCGGCTGATTCATGGATTTTGCGGGCATTCTCACGATCCTGGAAAAAAAAGTTATGCTTAAGAACGTAAGAAGCGACCCTGGCGGGTTGCTCAGTTGATTAGATCCTCCTCCCTATATGCCCAGGTTGGGGGTTTGATCCCTGGTCAGGGCACATACAGGAATCACCCAACGAATGGATAAATGAGTGGAACAACGAATTGATGTTTCTCTCTCTCTCCCTTCCTCTCACTCTCTAAGACTCAATAAGTAAAATTAAAATAAAAATAAAGAACATAAGAAGAGGTTCCACAATGAAATTCTTCATCAGAAAACACTGTGTCCTCTGACATCCCACAGCCCCCCGCAGATAACAGTGGGGGGTCTGTGCCCTGCAGAGGCGGCAGGAAACGTTCCCTTCAGAGAAAGCCCAGAAACTTCGTCCCAGTAAACACAGCTCTCTCAAGGACTTCCAGAGGAAACCATGGCAGGGGATTTCTGCCAAAGTTCAGGGCTGGCAACCTGGGAGCATTTCATTCAAAAGACATGTTCAAAGTACGGGTGGGTATCTTATTTGAAGCTCCCAGAAATTCCCTGTTATAAAACAAGCAGAGTGACACTTGATCTTGGTGATTTCTGTATTAGAAACACAGAACCTGGGGTTTTGGGAGTGAACTGCTGTTTCCTTTAAGCGAGCCCAGCGTTCTGAGTTCTTGGAGAAAAGAAATTATAGAGCTTTAGAGTTTTTCTTGTTTAACATGTTCTTCCTTTCAGCTCTGGCCAAGTGTACCTCACAATTGCGAACGTGGAAGGGGTTATGTCATCTGGTGCCCTGGCATCTGGAAATGAAAGAACTCTCTTTATATAACTAATATTAAATAGAGGAAATGAGGGAGCAAGTGAGGGGAGGGAGAAATGGTGAGGGAAATAGAAAGTTCCTCTGCACCCTCCCCAGCCCTGTCCCTGGCAGTCTGAGAACGCAGGCAGGGTATGTGTGAGAACCGAGTGCAGCACCGAGTCAGTTTACCTTCGTGAAAGGAGAAATGAAGCTGGTAATGCAGACCAGACCAGCGTCCGCGAACAGCTTGGCCACCTCAGCAATCCGGCGGATGTTTTCTTCTCTGTCTCCGGGAGAGAATCCAAGATTTCTGTTAAGGCCATGACGGACGTTGTCCCCGTCCACGGAGTAGCAAGGGATGGAGTGGGAGACCAGGTACTCTTCCAGAGCAAAGCTGATTGTGGTCTTCCCAGCACCGGAGAGACCTGTTCAGGACAGGCAGGACAAAACAGGCATTGTCCCTGACTGTTTAAGATGACAAATTGGAACCTGATCCTATCTGTGGCCTGATCCTAGTTTTTTACCCAACTGAAGTGTAGTTACACCTTTTTACAATCATTTGATTGATCTCAAATCAAAAACCTTAAAATCTAGAAAAACCATGGTTTACTACAAGTCAAGTACTTGCATTTCTTTCAAATCTTGAAATAACTATTTGTGCCTGATTAGGACTATATAGCCTTTCAAATCGAGGGAGGTTCATAAATGGGGAACCTTGTGGGGCTGCATTTGGTCCCTGCTATGTGTCATTTTGCCTGCAGAGTGTTTGAGACATTAGAAAGTTGCACACAGAAATCCAAATTGTGGTTCTCTTGAAATTAAAAACAATGACAACACAGAAGGTCTGGTAAGAGTGTTCCCATATCCTCTGTGACAACAATCAGCTTGAGTGGAGGGGACAGCCAGGCTGGGTGGCCCACGTCACAGCCATCTACAACAGAGCCCAGATACTGTCCTTTGTTTTTGAACTTTTTCCAAAATGACTCTCAAAACATAAAGGCAGAGAGGTGTCCTGAGCTGGGCTGTGGGCGTATGCAGAACTGCCATGCACTCCTAGGTGTTCGAATCTCTGCACGGAGCAGAATTACCAAGTACCTTTTACTGTGGTTTTGAAGCACAATAGTTAGGAACACACTTTATAATTTCTCTATGAAGGAGAATATAAGGAGAAAAGGAAAGAAATACTACCTTCCAAAATTATTTAAGAGCTCAAAATCTAAACACGCCTGGAGGAGTAGCACTCTAGAAATTCAGTCGTCCTAAAGATCTCAGAACCTGAAGAATATTCCAGTGGGCCAAGCCACTGTCCGACAGTACCCGCATATAGAAGAGGAAAAGTTAGGGGTAAAGAAAAGAAGGTTGAGAGGTTTCTACAGTGAAGACAGCAGGTGAAAAGGGAAAAAAGAAAAAATACAAGAAAAGCAGGGACGAGGACAGAGAGAACAGGAGACTTGGGAAGAAAGGTGACATACGAAAGGCAAACAAATATTTTCCATGTTTCAGGTTTGAAAGTCGTGCCCCTGGCCCTAACACAGGGTCATAAGAAGAAGTGTTTACATGAAGAATGTGTTGGCCGTCTCTATAAATCATTGTTGAAAACAAAGTCTGTTACGTAACTTTGTCTATTAATTATGTAACTCAGTGTCTGTTAGCAGTTCTGTCTGGTTGTGAGGTAGAGGAAATGTGACTCCTGAATCTCTTGGATATTCTCTCCCATCAGCCCTCCCATCTGTCATTTGACAGAAATAATAGAAATTTCCTTTGCTTTTGTTTCAGCACACAGGAAACTAAGAACTACATAACAGTAACTGTATAAAGCTATATTGTCGCCATATTTTTTTTTTAAAACTGGTGTAATACTAATTACATTTGTCAAGAGATTGACCACAGACCCACAGACTAGGCACTGTGCCAAGTGCGTATTTACTCTGATTTCACTCAGTTCTACCTACGCCTCTACGAGAAAGGCACTGTGTTTCTTCCTCAGAGAGAGGTTCATTGGCTTGGCCAAAGGCACACAGTTAGTGTAGGTGAAGCTGGGGCCCACAGCCAGGTGTCTGGATTAGAAGTATTTAGTTTCTTCTGGATGGCCTAGTCAATATCTTATCTCTGCAATTTTAGAGTAAAAAATAAAGTAGGAAAAGATTATTTTTTTTAAAGTAAGAAAAGCCAAAGGAGGTATACTCTTGAAAATTTTCCCCCTCTTCCACCAGTTCTTTTTCCTTTTTCAAGAATGTTTCACATTAGAAAAAGTGGGCACTGTGTGGATGTCCCAGTACGAAAGTAGGCAAATACGCAAAGGCAAACACTTCATGGAGACAAGCACAGAACAAGAGAGAAACATCTGAAACACAGCTGCGTTTCGTCTACTGCTGCCCATTATGTCTATGAGAGGGAGCTGGGGAAAACACTTCAGGAATCCTGATAGGTGAATGCTGCCTTTTGGAATAGGGCAGGCCCCTTGTCCACTGACTATCCTCCACCTGGAAGCTGGAAAAAAAGTTGATGGACCAGGGATAAATGAAACCATAAGCAAGTACCAAAGTCACTAGGGAAAAAAAAAACTTGAAAAAGAAGAATGAAGCTGATTTAGACAAAAATGAGAAACACAGAGGAGATTAAGATAAGCGGCAAGGCAGGCCCCTGGCTGGTGTATTTGTTAGAATTATCCTCAGTTAAGAATACTTCAGCATTTGTGCATAGACAGTAATGCATGAGCTGATTTCATAACCTGTATAAACATATCTTTGCATCTGGGGTCATCTCTATTTGAAATATGATGACTATAAAATGAATCTAAGTTTTTCTTTTGAATCCAGGCTATCTCAGAATTTTCCCAGGAATCAACTACTTCTGCATTGTACTCAAACAATAAGGTCACAGCCCAGGACTGGTTCCAGTCCTGTCACTGACCCTCAGCTTTGATATTCTGTGGCTATAAAAACACAGGAAAATGGAGATTCATTTGGTTACCTCAGTGGGAGTGAGTTATTTCTACACCCAAGGGGCAATCCTCAGATAAATAGAAATCACTTGTTTTCCTTCCTACAGAGAGTATGACTTTTTAACACTAAGTACAAGAGTTTCCCAGAATGCTGAAATATCAGAAAACAATAAAAAGAGTATCTCTAAACACCCAAAACTTTATGCTTAATGCCAAATGTTTGATGTCAAGTGAGGAAAGCCCCGTGCAAAACTTCCGGTAACCATGCTAAGGCATGAGCTTGAATATTGTGGAATGTCTTAGGCCAGAAGGGAGTGTCATCATCAGCTTGTCTCATCTCCTGACAAAGAGGAGAAAACTGAGAACTAGAGACATTTTGTGACTTGATCAAAGTCCTAGTTCTCACCCAGGGTCAAATTAGGAGTAACACCTGGACAGCTTTCAGCCTCCTTCTAATGTTAAACACATAATAATGTTACATCCATTTTCCCTTAAAATTTTGTGTCACACATCAATTTTTTAAAAGATTTTATTTCTTTATTTTTAGAGAGAGGGGGGAAAGGAGGGAGAGAGAGAGAGAAACATCAATGTGTGGTTGCCTCTCACGTACCCCCTACTGGGGACCTGGCCTGCAACCCAGGCTTGTGCCCTGACTGGGAATCAAACCAGCTACACTTTGCTTGGCAGGCTGGCACTCCACCCACTGAGCCATACCAGCCAGGGCCACACATCAATTTTTGATTTAAAAAAAAATCTCTCAAAATGGCATACCTGTCAGCCACACGGTACACCCTCGGAATCCACCCCTTGTTCCAACGACCTGCCCTCTCTTATTCCTGCTCACATGGTGAGCCTGGTAGATGACATTGGTGGATTTCTGCTGGATCTCCTGCAAAAAACACAAGATTGAGTACAGTAGTTAATAAGATCATAAACATAATACGTATAATTGGCATATAGAGTAACATTAATTCTACTAGAATACCCATCATGACTCTTTGAAAGCATAATATGAATGAGACTGTTATTGATACACTGTAAAAGCTCTGGTTCCATGACATTTTAAAATGTGCAGCTTTTGGTGAAATTTTTGGGGGTGATGTGTGATCCAATGAGGGTGGGGTACAGAGAACCCATAAAGGTAGTTAAAGAAAAAGGTCGGGACTTCCAGCCAAGATGGAGGCATAGAGATGGAGAACACTGTACCTCCTTGCACAACCAAATTTAAGAACGACAAAGATTCAGAAAGAAAAGCACAACCAGAACAGACAGAAAATTGAACTGTACTGAAGTCCAACAGCAACGAACCATTCATCCAGACTGGTAAGAGGGGTGGAGTTGGCAGCCAGTGGAGAGGGGTCATGGCAGGAAAAGGTGGTGGTTAGCGCCCTGGGTAGGGAGGACAGGAGCAAACCCAGTGAGGTGTGCAAGGCGGTTGGATGACCACGGACACACATTCACACGCAGATAAACCAGGCAAAAAACTGGCAGTGAGACAGACCGAGCAACCCAGGGCCCCAGCGACCAAAATAAAGCCTAAAAGCACTGACCAAAAAAACTTGCAAGGGTTGAGGTGCTGGGATAGACTCCCAGGCTCACAGGAGAGTTCGTTGGAGAGACCCACAGGGTTCTAGAATGTACGCAAGCCCACCCACCCAGGAACCAGCACCAGAAAAGCCAAATTTGCTTGTGGAAAGTGGCAAAGGGGACCGAAATCCAAGAGAGAGCAGAGCAAGCACCATTGCTCCCTCCCTGACCCCACCCCCACATACAGTGTCACAACCCAGTGACTAGACTGACCCACCCTGGTGAACACCTAAGGCTCTGCCCCTTACATGTAACAGGTGTGACCGGACCAAAAATTTATGGCTCAAACAAAAGAACAAATCAAAGCCCCAGAGCCAATACTTTTAAGCCACCAAGAGATAGCCAACCTATTGGATACACAGTTCAAAACACTGGTGATCAGGATCCTCATAGAACTGGTTGATTTTGGTCACAAATTAGATGAAAAAATAAAGGCTACACCAAATGAAATGAAGGAAAATGCACAAGGAACCAATAGTGATAGGAAGAAAACTGGGACTCAAATTAATGGAGTGGACTAGAAGGAAGAAAGAAACAACCAAACAGAAAAGAAGGAAGAAACAAGAATTCAAAAAAATGAGGAGAGGCTTAAGAACCTCCAGGACATCTTCAAATGTTCCAACATCTGAATTATAGGAGTACCAGAAGGGGAAGAGGAACAGCAACAAGTGGAAAACTTATCTGAACAAATAATAAAGGAGAACTTCCCCAATCTGGAAAAGGAAATAGACTTCCAGAAAGTCAGGAAGCTCATAGAGTCTCAAAGAAGGTGGACCCAAAGAGGAACACACCAAGCACATCATCATTACATTAGCCAAGATTAAAATGAAGAAGAAAATTCTAGAAGCAGCAAGAGATAAGGGGACAGTCACCTACAAAGGAGTTCCCATCAGACTGTCAGCTGATTTCTCAAAAGAGACCTTACAGGCAAGAAGGGGCTGGAAAGAAGTATTCCAAGTCATGGAATCCAAAGACCTACAACCAAGATTGCTCTATCCAGCAAAGCTTTCATTTAGAATGGAAGGGCAGATAAAGTGCTTCCCAGATAAGGTCAAATTCAAGGAGTTCATCATCACCAAGCCCTTATTATATGAAATGTTAAAGGGACTTATCTAAGAAAAAGAATATAAAAAATATGAACAGTGAAAAGTAAGCAAGCTCACAGTTATTAAGACCCACACCTAAAACAAAAGCAAACTAAGCAAACAACTAGAACAGGAATAGAACCACAGAAATGGAGATCACATGGAAGGTTAGCAATGGAAGGGTGGGAGGAGGAGAAGGGGGGAGAAGGTACAGAGAATAAGTAGAATAGACGGTAGGTAGAAAATAGATAGGGGGAGGGCAAAAACAGTATGGGAAATGTAGAAGCTAAAGAACTTATGACACATGAACATGGACTAAAGGGGGGAGTATGGGGGGTATGCAGGGTGGAGGGGAATGAAGGGGGGAAAATGGGACAACTGTAATGGCAATCAATAAAATATGTTTTGAAAAAAAGGAAGAAAAGGTTGGGAGCTACCCACATATGTTTCTGGTGTGGTAACTGAATTTTGTATGACAGAAGTAATCCAAGCCGCTGAACTACAAAAATCTACGGAGCCCTTTAAATGCTGCACACATTCACCCATCAGAGATAAGAAAGCACCAATATTCTTTGAACAAGCCCCAGAGAGTCTTAGGAAACTCTGGGCTACGTAATGGCAACTTTTACATTCTGGAGCAAATGAAATCACCTCTTCACGCCACCTCATTCGGGAAAAATAAACAAGCAAACGGACAAAGGGGGATACAAGTAGGATTATTTGGAGGCTATGTGAATAAAGGGTGTGAACATGCTCTGTCAATGGCAAAGTTCTCTACAAATGTGAATGCCTACAATGATTATTGAGTGTACACCGCCAACAGGAAAGGCTGGAGCCAGCTAGATCAGGACTAGGAAAATCACTTGCAGACCACAGGGGAGGAAGCCCCCTATTGGCCCTAGGTACTGAGAAAGTCAGTGCACACGAGTGGGGGCAGACCTGCTGGTGAGGCACAGAGCACCTTGTGCCCTGCAAAGGAGCCAGGCAGTCCAGGAATGGGCAGCCGTCAGAGGGAGCCAATAGGAAGACATTGAAAGCTGGCATCAGTTGGATCCTTGAAAACCTTCCAAAGCTAGATGCTCTCTGATCATCCGTCAGGCAAGCTGGGTGAGATCCCAAGACTAGGAAGAGGTGGGATATAGTCACTGTCTTTCACTTACGGGTTCATAAATGGGCCAAAAGAGGCTATTTCTTGACATATCCTAGCGGTATTTCCCCTGATGAACAAATCCCCTGAAGGTATCTCAGTCTTTTGTGTCAAGTGTACTTTATAGCTCAAGGGAAGCATTTCTTTCTTTTCTCTATTTCCTTGTTATTCACTGCCACTAGACTCAAAACTTGGGATCTGGCTATCAGGTGCAAGAGTTAGCTCATCAGCTCATTCATTCACTGCTTCAGGGGATGTTTATGTAAATGATCTCTAACAAGAAAATAATTCTGAGACGTCCTAAATTAAATCACAGCAGGCCAGAGGATGGGAGTTAATCAGGTAAGAGCCACAGGCCAAAATCAACAAAAGACTGCTCACATTCCTGAATATGTGTTGAAATTTTGAATCAACTTCTGGGCTGCTTTCTTAAAAAAAAAAAAAAAAAAAAAAAAAAAAAAAGCCAACCACTAGATGCCACCACATCCTGCTTATGTATGAACTTTCCAGACTGTTGCCACAGCCCGTCAGCAGTAGGAACTATTCCTTCCTTAGGGACCATGCACGTATCCTAGGACTGCCCCTACTTCACCTTGACCGGCCATCCCACAGCCAGTGTAAATTCTTTCAAAACAACTTACATCTTTCTTCCTCAAACCCACTGTACAAAAGAGCCCATCCACTCCTGGACCAAGGACATGTTCATACTCTCCATCCAGCCCTGCTACTGGTGCTTTAGAATGCATGTCCCAGGACCTGGTCCTTTTTCTGGCTAGCAGATGCTCAATAAACCCTTTCTTTCTGAAAAGCATTCCCATTGTTTAACATCTACTAGTATGTGCTGGGGAGGGGGGGGCATCATAGGCACTGGGAATATAGTACCACTAAATAAAGCAGAATCCCTGGCATCATTTTCAGGGCAAATACAGCCAAAAAGATGAAATAACTGGAGCCCGACTCCTCAGAGGGGGTGGAGGATCTCATACATATATCTGTACACTATATGAAGACGTATAAGTAAAAGGAACACCTGCAACTCAATAGTAAAAAGACAATTCAATCTTTAAAAATGGGCAAAAGGTTTCAACAATCACTTGACAAAGGAAGACACCCAAAGGGTCGGTAAGCACATGAAGAAGCGCTCAGTGTTCTCAGTCACCAGAGAAATGCAAATCAAGACCAAACAAGATGTGACGGGTAACATCCAATGCCATTAAATGTTCTCACATGTTGGCAGTGGAGATGTAAAATGGTCCAACCATCTCGGAAAAAAACCTAGCAGTTTCTTATAAAACTAAACATTTACCAGCCCTATGACTCGGCAATTGCATTCATAGATATTTACTCAAGAGAAGTGAAAACATGTCCACAAAAAGACTTGTACAAAAATATTCTTAGCAACTGTATTTGGACAAAAACTGAAAATAACCAAATGTCCATCAATAAGAAAATAGATAACAAAACAAACAAATAAAACCTACACCAAAAGCACCTTACAAAACCCAAAACTGTCGAATCCTTATATAATGGAATGTACTCAGCAATATAAAGAAATGGACTACTGATACATGCAACATGGCTAATAAATAAAAACATTTTGCTGAATCAAAGAAGTCTTACACAAAAAAACCTACATATGATTCCATGTATGTGAAGTCCCCGAATATGGAAAACTAATTTACTAAGTCAGAACAGCAGTTGCTTTGGGGTGACGATGTTGGGCTTCAAAGGACACAGTGTTGGCGCTCCTGCTGGAACTCACCGGAGGTACCCTTCAGAGGGACATTTCCTTCTGTGTAAATTTTACCACATTCCCAAAAGAAAAGAGCCGCTTAAGAAAGTAAGCAAACCAGAAAACAGATTAAGAGTCAGATGGTGGAACTATACTGGTTGCTATTGTTGCTTTTATGGAGAAGGGCTGTGGTCCCAGTCACAGCGTATTTGCTTAAGGGGCCACTGCCCGCCTGTGCACATGGATGTGTTCCAGAGCTTAATTTTCCTCTCCTTTGGGTGTTTCTTCTCCCTAGAGGGAGAGATCTAGAATAAATTCCAGGCTTTGTTAGTCTTCTG